TAATAAAATTTAATAAATTATAGAAATTAACTGTTTATATGGTAAATCTATATAACTATATGATTATACTATTTGAAAAAAATTGTATAAATATCGCTAAACTTAAGCTTATCAAACAATAACTAGTAAACTTGTAATAACTAAAAAAACTATTATTACTAATACCGCAATACGAGTAATTAAGTATAATATATTTTTTACTTATTTTTTACTTATAATTTTATTTTATATATATATATATATATATATTATTTATTTATTTAAAGTACAACAACTGCAACAATGAATTCAATATCAATGACCACATTCACAGTACTTGTTGTTATAAGCGTAAGCTTTTTGGTCAACACATGCGATGCATCAGTCGGTGTCGATACTATTGTCAGTAAAATATGCGGTAAATAATTATTATACAATATATTTATATAAATATTTTGTATATATTATAATTTTAATTGCAATTATATTTTTAATAGTTAGCTTAATTAATCTTATTATTATTATAGTTATTTAAAACAAATAATATAATTAATAATATTTTATTTTTGATTTTTAAAAAAAGGTTTGGATAAATGTGCGAATGGACTTGTAGATTTTGAACAGTGTATGAAAACCATAACTGTCCAGGGACCACTTGTTAGTACAGTCAATACTGTATTAACATTGGCCGGAGAAATTGTTGGACCTTTTTGTTTTCTGGGTGGAACCATAATATCACCTGCATTAATGTTATTGGATGCGGCTAATCTATTGGATCAGGTAGGCAATTGTCTACCAGGGTGCTAGAAATTGTTATTAACAGTATATAGAATACATAATATATCTATATATAATATTCAATATTTAAAAATAATTTTTAGTAATAATTGTAAAAGTAGTATTAATTGTAGTAATTATATAATATTTTTATTGTTATTTTGTAATTTAAACTTTGTTTGAATTTAATAAAATTGAATTGAATTTAATTTAATAAACTAATTTTATAATTTTAATTATTGTTATATCTAATGATTTAATAAATTTTGTATATTTAAGATTATATATATATATATATATATAGAATAAATTGATTAATAAAAAATCTTATAATAATATAACATAACGTTTTTTAGTATTTTTTTATTGTTTAACAGATACTCTTTAATAGTTTTATACTAAAAAATTACTTGTAATTGTAATAAAAATATTTGTTTTAATATATAATGTTTTTTACGTCATTAACAAATATATAAATAATTAATTTACAAATACATTTAAATTACATTATTATAAAAAAAATTAAAATATAATAATTTAAATAAATAGTATGATCATTAATTAATCTTTACTTAATGTTCCCCCGTTTACTGCATTATAAGTAATTTATTTATTTAAATTATTATATTTTATTTTTTTTATAATAATGTAATTTAAATGTATTTATAAATTAATTATTTATATATTTGTTAATGACGTAAAAAACATTATATATTAAAACAAATATTTTTATTACAATTACAAGTAATTTTTTAGTATAAAACTATTAAAGAGTATCTGTTAAACAATAAAAAAATACTAAAAAACGTTATGTTATATTATTATAAGATTTTTTATTAATCAATTTATTCTATATATATATATATATATATAATCTTAAATATACAAAATTTATTAAATCATTAGATATAACAATAATTAAAATTATAAAATTAGTTTATTAAATTCAATTCAATTTTATTAAATTCAAACAAAGTTTAAATTACAAAATAACAATAAAAATATTATATAATTACTACAATTAATACTACTTTTACAATTATTACTAAAAATTATTTTTAAATATTGAATATTATATATAGATATATTATGTATTCTATATACTGTTAATAACAATTTCTAGCACCCTGGTAGACAATTGCCTACCTGATCCAATAGATTAGCCGCATCCAATAACATTAATGCAGGTGATATTATGGTTCCACCCAGAAAACAAAAAGGTCCAACAATTTCTCCGGCCAATGTTAATACAGTATTGACTGTACTAACAAGTGGTCCCTGGACAGTTATGGTTTTCATACACTGTTCAAAATCTACAAGTCCATTCGCACATTTATCCAAACCTTTTTTTAAAAATCAAAAATAAAATATTATTAATTATATTATTTGTTTTAAATAACTATAATAATAATAAGATTAATTAAGCTAACTATTAAAAATATAATTGCAATTAAAATTATAATATATACAAAATATTTATATAAATATATTGTATAATAATTATTTACCGCATATTTTACTGACAATAGTATCGACACCGACTGATGCATCGCATGTGTTGACCAAAAAGCTTACGCTTATAACAACAAGTACTGTGAATGTGGTCATTGATATTGAATTCATTGTTGCAGTTGTTGTACTTTAAATAAATAAATAATATATATATATATATATATATAAAATAAAATTATAAGTAAAAAATAAGTAAAAAATATATTATACTTAATTACTCGTATTGCGGTATTAGTAATAATAGTTTTTTTAGTTATTACAAGTTTACTAGTTATTGTTTGATAAGCTTAAGTTTAGCGATATTTATACAATTTTTTTCAAATAGTATAATCATATAGTTATATAGATTTACCATATAAACAGTTAATTTCTATAATTTATTAAATTTTATTAATAATTAATAATTTTTGTTAAATACCTACAAAAACATCAACATAAAATCTATAGTATATAATAAACAAATTATTAACTTAAATTATATTTTAAAGTTTTCAAATTTTTAATTAACTGTTAATTTTCTAAATTAAAGTCTATTACTTATTATTCAGTTACCATACATGTCATCACATTTTTTCGAAAAAAATTATGTGAATTTTTAAAATTATTTAAGAAAAATGTATAAATAAATTATTAAGAAATGATGATTTTGATTTTTTTTCAAAAAACTAATACAAAATCAATTAAAATTCTTTACAATTGATGTGAATTTTTTATAAAACTATGAAATAACATATATTAAAACTTTAATTTTTTATAACGATTATTTAGTTTTTTTGGTAATTATAAATAATGCTGTACTTTTTATTATTATTATTTTTTTTATATATAAATATATATATTTAAATAATATTTAAATATAACTAATTAGTATTAATTAGTTTAACATTTCTAAATATTTTTAAAATTAATTTTATTAAGTTTAGTATTTTATTTATTATAAATTATACTTTTGAACTTAAATAAAATAAGATTAACAATATAAATATAATTAAAATTAATTTTAATTTCAAAAGCAATTTTAATATATAGTAAAATTTAAATCAATTAATTTTTAATATTAATAAATCAAAAGATGAAAAAATATATGAATTAAATTTATCCATTTATTTACACTATTTTTAAATATTTATAGATAATTTATAGTAGTATGTTTTTATTTTTTTAATAAAATTTGTTAAAAAATTTTTAATATGTTAGTTTTGCCATCAATTTTACATGTTTAATTTTAATAATGTTAAATAATACTATTCAATAATTACTATAATTTATAATTTTAATAAAGATATGTATATTTTTAAATTTAGCATTTTTAATATTTAATAGTTATATATTAATATACGAATATATATTTTATATAATATTTGTAATTTCATAATTATAAAAATTTTATAAAAGAAAAAAATTTCTATTATCATGATTTTGTAATTTACATGTCTGAGTAGTTTTGCATTAAAATATTTCTAAATCATTTAAAAATATTTTTATTACAATTACAAGTAATAATTGTTAATATCATTTAAGCAAATCATTCAATAAAGAATGGTTTAATTTTTTTTTTTTAAATATTAAATAAAAATAAATGATTATTTTGCAATTATCATGTTGAGCAGGACATGAATTTTTAAGCGATTAGAAAATAGTAGTAATAATAATAGTAATTACTATTTGTTTTAATATAGATTCATAAAATTTAATTATTTTTTTAAAATATATTATTTACTGAAAACTTTTTTGAAAATATTATTCGTATCGATTGTATCGCATTTGCTAACAAAAAAAATTGATTGTCATTATGTTGTTTTAAATAATCTGTTATAATTTTTAAATAATTTTATTAGTTTAAGTCAAATTACTTATTATTTCGTTATCATACGTTTTATAGAATTTTTAACATAATTAAAAATTTATACAAATTTCTAGTTTTTAGTTTTATGTATATATATTAAGCTAATGACTTAATTTTATAATATTAATAGTTATTAGTTTTTCTAAAAAAAATAAAGTTTATATCTAAAATATTTCACAATTTTATATTTCCATTAGATTACACATTATTATTATTAGATATCACAAAACATGTATTAATTAATTTTCACGAACTTCTGAAAGAAATAAATATCTGAATTCTATATTTCTGTCTGTCTGTCTGTTTTACCCCACCCTTTACCCCCTCCCTCCCACTGAAATCGAAAATCTTTAGCAACCCTGATATATATATATATTATATCTATTGTAAAATGTTTAAATAAATATTTAAGTTTTTATTTAATAGTATTTATATAAATTTATATTATAATAAGTAAAGTATATTTAATTTATATATAATGTATCGATATATTATAAATTTATTTTTAAAAAAATTATATTCCTAATTAAATGTAATACAAGATTTTATAAAATTATTTTATTTTATTTTTTGTTAAAAATATATATATATATATATATATATATATATATAATTAGCTGAATTAGCTAATTTTATAAAATATACAATCTTTTAATTTAAATTTATCAACACATTTAATAATTAATATAATATAATAATATAAATATTATATAATATAAGTTTTTCATTTTTTTAACAAAATATACTGTTATAATGAATACGAAAAATTTAATTATTTAATTTTTAAAATAATTATATAATAATATTAAAATAATATTAATATATAATCAGCTCATAAATGATAAAAAAATAATAAGTTAAAGTTGTAAATTATAATTGAGTGCAATTAAGTTTGTCCCGCAAATCCATGTGTTTTCCACCAGTTATTGTTAGGCCTACCGGTGCTGCTGCTCTGCGACTGGTCCTGTGATCCGTTAGACAATTCACTCGGTCTTTCATATCTACCGGTGATCTCCTCAGATGATGACGACGACGATGATGACGACGATGATGGCAATGACTCAAACGGTATACCATTGTCTTGATTGACGAGAACGGGTATGACTGGCGGCTCATCATTAGTTGCCGATTCCTGATGACCACCTGTTCCCCGGCCACCACTACCACCACCACTGCTCATCAATATCTCCTTAAGCTGTTTGATATACTGTGCGTCTACTTTTTCTGCCTGTGCCAGTGCTTCCTCCGATATAACTATCGGTGTCGGTGTCCGATGTTGTTGTTGTTGTTCAAAATTACCAGCACTGGTAGACAGTCCCGGTTCATCAGCGTAGGTAACTTGAGGTACATCTTCTTTAACATGATTATGTTGTCTTTCATTGTATTGATTTCGATATTGTTGTCCTGTTGTTGTAGTCGATTCCACAACATTGGGAGCTACCGATGCTGGTGCTGTATGTATGCTATGCAAAACATCTACCGGTCCCTGTGGTCCGAGCCGATTATTGTTGACCAATTGGTTTCTAATAAACACAGTTTGTGGCCATTGTTGCTGTTGTTGTTGTTGCGGTCCATTGAAACTGTTTTTATTGTTATGTCTATCATCAGATACCGGTCCTAAAGTTGTATCCCTGTCTCCGCCACCGATAGACTGTGTGGGCCGATAGGCGTCCAATTTGTCTCTTTCCTCTTGTGTTCGTCGGGCTTCTTCAATAAGCTCTCGCTGACGCCGTTCCGACTCCCGGTGCACTTTTTCTGCCCGATCCCTGTCCTCCAATTGCCTCAGCAACTGTCCCCTGAGCTCCTGTTTGCGTCGACTATTATCAGGTGCTGGCAATGGTGGTGGTGGTGGCGACTGATTGTATATGTTTTCATCATTATAGCTATTGACCACTTGTTGTCTAACGGGACTGTCATTATACTGAGCTCTACCGTCACCACGATTATTATTATTATTACTGTTACCACCTATTATCAGATGCTGTTGTACTAACTGTGGCTGTCTATGACTACCAGTTCCCGTATCTAACTGTGTTATAGCAGATGATGGTTGGTTATGGTTGTATTGATTATAATAGTTACGATTCATATAACTTTGTTCGGCACTCAAGTGTTGGATATTATTATTATTATTACTATTTTTTGACCGAATAGGTAGCTCAGGTACTACCGGTGCACCAGTAGATGCAGTAGTAGTAGTAGTAGTAGTTGTTGTTGTTTGTTTAGGTATCTGCAAAACATCTGACAGTTTTTGTTGTTTTTGATTTTGATGTGGTACCAGTGGTACAATAGCCAGCTCCTGTAGTCTGGCCAGTATAGGATTTGATTGGTCGGCATTATTTTTAGCAGTAGGTGTTTCCCTTGGTTCCAACAACAGTATTGACTGCTGTCGACGACCCGGTTCGCCCGGTGCTATCACTGCAATTGGTCGCTGAACTGTCGGTATAAACTCTGGATAATTATTTTGAACTACTATCGGATCAGCACCGGTATGCTTAACCGTTGGTGCGGACAAATCTGGTAACCGTATGAGCGACTGACGGAGCTCTTGCAGGCGATCTGTTTGCTCCAACAGTGGCCGATCCAACTGAAGTACCGATTGTTTTGGTTGCAATAGAATCGGCTGATGTTCATCGATCACTGGCCGGGCCGGACGTTCAACATCTGGCAACTGTATGCCAGTGTTGCGCACTGTTGGCACTGTTTTGTCAAACTGTGTACCCCTTAGGCGCTCGTAGATACGCGGATCCCGGAGTAAAGGTTTCATCTGATCTAATATTGATATATCTTGATGATGGCCACCACGACCACCACCATTCCTGCCATCCGGTGCTTCAATTTGCACCTGTTTGACCAGCAACTGGCGATGATCCTGTTTGTTATTGTGCATCTGTAGCTGTTTGATATAGTCTTCAAGATAGGGACTATGATTAGCCAGTTGTTGACCACCGCCGCCGCCTCCCTGTGTACTACTTATTCCTGTTTTTTGTAGACTATCATCGGCTCCGGTGGGTCTTCTCTGTCTATCGATAGCAGGAGGCGACTGATCATACAATATGTCGATGCCGTGCTGTTGTTGTTGTTGTTGTGTCGGTACGTGGTGTCGGTCATTGTTACGGGACAGTTGTTGTTGTTGATCCGTTTGCCTGTCCCGTCCCGTTTCGCTGCTAAAAGCATAGGGTATATAACTGTCCCGTTCAGGAGGTGGTACCGGTAGTTGTTGTTCATGTCTATTATTAATATTATTATCATAATTGTGTCGACGTATGGACGAGTATGTTATCGGTCCGTTTCCCGACCGATTAGCTAGTTTTCTATGTGATTCTATAGTATTTTAAAAAAAATATTTACTATTAATTTAAATTATAATTTTTCAAACAAATATTATACATATATATTATTTGCAACAAAAAAATAATTTAGTTTTTTATAATATTATAAAATAATATTATCAATTAAAAATTTTTAAACTGTTTTGTTATATAAAATAAATAAAAAATAATTTTATAACTTAGCTCCTAATATTTGATAGTTTTATTATTTATTTTTGATTATTTTAAATAATTTTAAATCAATATCCATAGAGTATTACTGAAAATAATTAATGTGCAATTAATTATAAAATGAGTTTATAAATAATTCATTAATTTTTATGTTAATTTTATTGATTTTTTTTAATTATTATAATAGTAATATAAATAAAGTAGTTTTTATTATAAATTTTATATATATATTATTTTTTAATTATTAGAACTACTAAAAATAATAAAACATAAGTGGCATTAACTAAAGTGAAATAATAAATAAAATAATTGTTGAATAATTACTATTCAATTTTCTAAATAATTATATCAAGTAATCTTGATTATTATATAAATTAATTATTAATTTTACAAAAAATAGGTAACAAAAATATTATTATTATTATTATTATAAAAATTATTTTCTATTTTTTAAGTAATTTAATTAATTAAATAGAATATAAACAAAATTGTTGATATGTTATTATTAATTAAAATTAAAGTGATATTATATGTTCATAAATTAATTATTTTATTTAATATTAGTGTATTATTTAATACATAAAATTAAGGGAAACAATTAATAACTGTAGTAAACAAATAAAAAAAATGAGATTTTGTGAGAAAAATAAATAGATTATATCAAATAGTTTAATAACAAATAATAATTTGATACTAAAAAAATTATTGCAGTATTTATATTAATTTTTTTCATAAATATAGTAAAATAAATAAAAAATTAAATTATCAATATGGGTCAAAATATCATTTATAAATAAGTAAAAGTATCAAACTATTGTTTTTTTAAATTTAAATACTAGATTTGTTATAATGATATAAATAAATTTTATGCTATTTACAAACAAACAAACAAAAATGTCTAGATAAAATTTAATATTAATAAATTATAATAAAACAATAAAAATTTATTATTTTTTTTTGTTTTTTTATTTTTATGCAAAACATTATATCATATATAAAATATTTAATATGATTTATATTTTTAAAAAAACCAAAACTCATACATATATTCAACAAACCCATTGAAAAATATATAAAAAAAAACTTTTTTAATTTTATTTATTATTACTTTATATACTATAATGTTTATAAATAATTATTACATATACTAAAAAAATTAACAAAAAAATTAATTACCTTTAGATTGTTGTTGTTGTCCTCTATTATCAATTGAGTCCAAACCGGTGACGATATCATCAATTGATTGCTGTCTATGATGTCGGCGATGATTATGGACTGGACTTATATCCGGCTTTTGTTTTGTCATAATTTGTTGCAGCGATTGATCCCTAGTTTGATAATAATCACTGTCTCTCAGAGATTTATGAGGACTGTTAGCTTCAATGTTGGCACTGTTAGGATTAATAGTGTTAAACCTGTTGTTGACTGGCACTACTACTGCTGAGCTATGATGTTGTTGATTGGCACTGTTAGCTAATAAATCACCTCCCGTTCCCACGTGCTGTACATCCAATGTTATATCCATTGTCCATATTGTAGGTATCAGTGTTAGCAGCAATATTAATGGACTTATTTTAGATATTATCTGGACAACAATACAATTAAAGTATTATATATATATAAGGAAATGTTATTTGTATTATTATTAAGTTATTATTAATTATTTAAAAGCTAATTTATAATAACTGTTTAGATAATAATACATAATGTATAATAAATAATGTTTTTTACATTAACTATTACTATTGATACTATTGATAAATAATTGATAAATAATTGATAACATTTTATTGTAATGTCTATTTAGATTATTATTTAAACTATTTTGTGTTATATTAATAAATAATATACATTTAACACAATTATTATTTTAAATGTATATAGAAATATAAATACATTTCTAATTTATTTATTTATAATAAAAATACTATACAATAAAAAATTACAAATAAGGTATTTTTAAAAATATTTTTCTATATAACTGTAATTTAATATATATTGTAGAAAATAATATAATATTAAATATTAAATAATAATATTAGAAATGGTTTATTATGGTTATATTATTTTTAAATAATAATTATTTCTACTATAAAACTATCTACGAATAAATCATATTTAACTAATATTATTAGTTATCAATATTTTTATATAATAATCAAATAATTATTTTATACAATATATATAACTTTATATATATCATACAAAAAAAATAATTAATATTTGTTATTAGAATTTAAGTACTAAGTAAGTGTAATCTATAAAAAATTGATTTTAAAATAAGCAATATAATAATTATAACTTGAAGTTAATATCAACTTTATAATTTTTAGTATATTAATTAAATTTTTTTAAAATAAATAAAAACAAAGATTTTATTAGATAACTTTTGGATATATTATTCAATAATATTCATTTAAAACACTTAATATAATTAAACGAAAAAATAGTACAAAAAAAGAAAATTTTATAATTAAATTATTTAATAAAAATTAATTTATAATTTATCCTAGAACAAATATTATTATATTTAAAATTTAATAATAAAATTAACATTAAATTATAAATTTAATAATAAAATTAACATTAAATTATAAATTTAATAATAAAATTAACATTAAATTATAAATTTAATGTTAAATTAACTAAAGTTTGATTGAAATAATTATAAAACATGCTATATTTACTTTATAAAAATATTATAAAACTAAACTTAAATTAAAATTTTTTTTGTTGACTATATCTAACTAATAACAATTGAAAAATATATATTTTTCAGTAATTAAATAATTAATAAATAGATGTAATAGATGATTTAGTATTTAAATATTATATATTAGAAAAAATGTAAAATAATCAAAATAAACAATTAAATTGTACCGGTATATAAGTATAAATATAAAATACAATATTTAATACAAAAATATTGATTTTTATTTTAAGAAAATATATATCAAAAAAAATATTATTATTTATAAGAAAAAATACATACCATGTTGTTGTTGCTAAAGTACATTATAAATAAATAATAGTCGAAAATATATTTATTTTAAATAAATTTTAATAGTAATAAACATTACTAAAACACTTAACAATTAAAATATTAAAAGTATAAAAGTATATCAATAGTGGATAACTTTCACTGAGTGTTTCAAATTCAAGACAACATTACTACAACTTTGTATTATTAATAATAATAATAAAACATTTGATTAAAAAATAATTTTTATATTTTCTTAAATCTGGATCTCTCTCTCTCTCTCTCTCACGAACTTTGAATAAACAAAATAATTATGTTTTTTCAAAAAAAAGTAAGTCAACTAAAGTTGTAGAGTTAGAGTAGTAGAAAAAAATTAGGATTTTTTATTTTATTTCATTTTAGTTTTTTTTGTTGCTTTTCATAACCGGGATTATAAATATAAATTGTTATCTCTATAATTGATTTTTTATTTTGGTGTTACATCTAATACATGTATACCGGTATTTAAAAGTGTGTTTTCATTTGTTAATATATAATAAATATATAAATATTACTCTTAACTCTATCACACATTTGTTACCCTCTCTCTCTCTCTCTCTCTCTCTCTCTCTCTCTCTCTCTCTCTCTCTCTCTCTCTCTCTCTCTCTCTCTCTCTCTCTCTCTCTCTCTCTCAATCACTCATTTGATACAATATTACTTATATTATAATCATTGACACATATATGTATACCGGTATATATGATATTTAATTAATGTCATATATATATATATATATATAGTGTTGTTATACAAGTATAAATAAATTATACTAAACAAAATAAAAAGTTGTTATAAAATTGTAACTTTTATAACCATAATGTGTTTAAATTTATGTTTTTTATGTCTGTATGTGTGTGTGTGTGTGTGATGTTTTAATTATATATAACTTTAGTTTTTTTTATTATAAATATCTTATTTATTTAATTTTTATTAGTTTAGTTTAATAATAACAAAAAAAATATATTAAAAAGTTGAGATAATTTCTATTTAATGTATTTGTATCTAATGTAATATACAGTAATTATTCAATAGTCTATATTTAAATTTTTTAGTGTATACATAAAATCCAAATAGATATTGATTTTTTAATTTAATTATTTTTTTGTTTGTTTGTTTCATAAATGTATTTATAGTTTATTTGTAAATGAATTTCTATACTATCATAATAAAACAATAAAATCAAAATAAATAAATTACTAACACTTTGCATCAATTTTTTTTCAATATTCAAACTTTAAAAATAGATTAACCCTATCCATGAAATTTGACAAAAATAAAATAATAAAAATATTATTAAACATTTAATAAATTAAATACAATTTGTATAGTAATGAGTCAACATTTATAAAAAAAAAAAGTTTTAACATTTACAATATCATTATCATTATTTTTTTATTATTAAAAATTCAATAATATATGTCATACATTTAAAATGTCATTTATATATATATATTAAACTTTATATAGATATAAAAAATATATATAAATTATTGTACTCTAGTAGCACTTAAACATCAATTGTATAATTTAAATATAACTTTTTTTATATAAAAAAATCATTTTAATGGGAACTACTGTACACTAATAGCAATAAAACTTATTTTTCTTAAATTTTAAATATAAATAATATAATATATATATATTGTGCTAAAAGTTAAATATGCTAATGAGATATTGATGTCAATCAATCAACAAATTTTTTAATTTTTTAGTAAATTGTAAATGTCAAGGTTTTATTTATGGAAAATAATAATTATTATAAATTAAGTAAATAATTAAAATTTATTAATTTATATAAATATTATTGTCAAAATATATTAGTGTAGAAGAAATCAATATTTTTTTGTTGTTATTAAATTTACAAAACAATGATAAAAATATATTTATAACTATTAAAATTACAAATATTTATCTTGTGCAAAACATGTGATATATATATACAGTAAAGCTATTAGAAAATAATTTATTTAAAAAATACATAAATATTATATAGATGAAAATAATTAAAAAATATATATAATTTTTACAAAAAAAAATAAAAGAAAATAATTTGTTAAAAAATAGCTAATTTTTTGAAAATAAAAATAAAACTTATTATTTCCAAACTGTATATGTATTCACCAAACTTGCTTACAATTGGCTATTTGTGTCAATTCCTGATTGTCATCGTAATCGGGATCTCTTCGACTTAATGGCCGAAAATAGTGGACACCACTGGCCACTAATCGGCGACGTTTGTTGTGATATCTGACTCCTATTATGATAACAAATACGACTACAGTTAGGAATATTGCCCACAAAAATATACGCCAATTGTTGGTTAATAGACGTCTCATAGCTGTCGGTGGCGGCGGCGGGTATAACCCGAAACACTGGTCGCGACGACTACCGTACGGTAGGCGACGACCGGTACAGTTGTGCAGTTCGTCGGCAATCTGTAACCATAGGTTGCGCGACACTGGAAAGTCATTGTCACCGTCGGTGCAAACCCTGGACATGTATGTCTTGAGACAATCGACTAGTAGCCAATTGAGACAACAGTGACCCCGACGGATGACATCCCGGAGCTCACCGGTACTGTGTATGTCCTCTGAACCGATAGTTTTGTTAACAATAGCTGCCAGAGCTGACTGTCGACACCAGTAATAGTCGTCGTCTGACATCAGTTTACTTTCGCAATGACTGTCAATACTGTCCACTAGTACTGTGTCCTCGATTTGCATGTCGTGATAGTATAGGTCAGTCATAATAATACTTGATGTCCCGTTACTGCTCACGACTCCCGTATTATTATTATTATTATTACTATTATTGTCATCACAACTAGTATAGTTTATTAAAAAGTTTATGTAAATTATGTTAATGAATATGAAAACTAATAAATAATTTTTATAAAACATTTTTATGTTTTTTATTATTTTTAAAAAAAATTAAATAACTTATTTAAACTAGATAAGTTAATTCATCAATTAATATTTTTATTATTAAACTATATTATTTTATTAAATAATATATATATACTGTATATATATAACATTTATGTTGATATTAAAATCACAAATTGACTAAAAAAATCGCACTTATTAAACAGATATAATATTATTTTTAAATTATTAATAATAATAATTATTATAACTTTATATTATAATTATTTGTTGGACACTCCCTATTGTAACTGTTTGTACAGTTTATATGAATATTTTGAATAAAATACGTGAGAAAGTATTGAAAAACATGATTTATAATAACAAAAAATTAAATATAAAACTATATGAAAACATAATGAAAATAAATAAAAACAAAAAAAAATCTGTAAAAATAGTTTACTAAAAAAACATATATAAAAGTATATTCATTAGTTAAGGTTTACAAACATATTGCTAATAATAAAGCTATACTAATACTAATAATAATAATAATAAAATTGCATATAATTTGATATTTCCATGTATAAGCACAATATATACACAATTATTATAGCCATAATACAGTTATGGTAATATACCTACATTATAGTTTATGAAGGTCATTAATTAATGATATTATTATTATTATTGGTATGAAAAATATTTATATTAGTTTTATAATATAAATGTATGGCTTTTATCATATACAGGTAGTGACTAATTTTTTATGTTTATGTTTAACTTTTATTTTTTAGTTGGCATTAAAGGTATGTAATGTATAGACATGTTTGTCTATTAAATAAAATTATATTTATATAAATTAATTCAATGTATATATGTTTAATTATTTACAGTATAACGTTATTTATATAAATTAAATAAAAATAAATATTTAATCATTGTATCATATTAATAATAATAATAATAATGTTTAATATTTCGATTGTATGTTTATTATTATACATACAAACTAATTATTTATTAAATTTTATTATGTATTAAAAATAATCTTAATGTTATACTAAAAAATAATATTTAAAAAATAATGTTATGTCTACTTATATTATTGTGTGTATATTTTTATTGTTTATTACAATCACATTTTGCTTAAAATTAACAATAGTATAAAAAATAAAAATACTCATGAAATTACATTTTTCTAGTTAAATAAATATGCAAACAAAAAATGTATTATTATGTATATAAAGATCATGTATTTGTATAATAATAATATTGTGATAAATAATTAATAGTTTTATGATTGTTTATTTTTTTAAAAAATAAAATATTAATTATATTCTAAATTTAGTTTATTTATAAATTAAAAAAATAAATAAATTGAATTTTTGATAAAATTTAATCTTTAACTTTGCAAATTGTTTAAATTATAAATTAATTTAGTCTACATTTTTTTATATATTAATTATAAAATTTAATTTTATTGAATTTATATAATAATATTTTATTAATTAAACAAACAATATCATTAAATTACATTAATATATGGTATAGTAAATATATTTATGTATTTATTACCCTATTTAACATTAAATTTACTTTTTTAAATATAATATTTACTGATAATCTATTTATTTGGTACAAATGTATTATTAAATTATCTGTATAATAATTTAATAATACATTACATTGTAGTGTAATAACATTTTAGTAGTAACACATTTTATTTTATTTATTTTATTTGAACGTTGATCCAATTGTTTGTAAATAAATAAGATTTATATATTTTTTTATATATATATATATATATAAATTTATTATAGTATTTTTTAAAAATCGCATATATTTTTAAAAATAAAAAATAGACCCCATTAAAATACATTATAAAAAATATCGGGTTATTATTATTATTATTATTATCTTGATTATTATTATTGATAATTGTAAACAACTTTTATTATTTATTAGATCATAATATTTAAGCTTAAGCTTAATAATATTTATAATGAATTATTTATAAATATATTCAATTATATTATGTAATATTATATTTATTTGTATATATATTTAGTAAATAATCCATGATGCTACAATAAATTAATCCTGGATACTTAATTTGATTTATCAACGACATAGACAATACATATTCATTTGTATATTATAATACAGATATTAATGTATTACTATTAATAAATTAATACTGTAGTTGTTTGCTATAAATATTTGCATCATTATTAATATTAAATTAAATGCCAATATATATATTGAATATATTAATCTATTGATAGACTCTCTCTCTCTCTCTCTCTCTCTCTCTCTCGCTATACAGATAACCGATTGTCAAATAAGCCTAAAATATCTATAAACTATTGCCAATAAACTGGTTTATATTATTATTATTTCTATTATTGTTAGCATTTAATCGATAAATTGATTTTGACATTGTATTTATCTACAGTATTACAGCATACTGTATATATATATATATAGATAGTTATATATTATTATTATATAATAGTATATATAATTTATATATAACTATTATATATATATATATATATATATATATGTTTAGATTGTTTGTGTTTGCGATTTACAATAATTACATTAATTGAGTGCCTCATCTTGTATTCAGTACAACCAAACTGTTTGTTTTGATCGCGATTTTACTGTATCTACAAAAAAGTACTGATATTTTATTAACACAGTCTATACACTGAATAGTATATAAAGTATTTATTTATATTATATATAGTATAAAATGTATTATTATTTTTTAGTTGATTGATGTTGTAGTAGTAGTAGTTAGTTGTTGTTGCTTTCAATTATCGATTTATAAAACTATACTAAAATTATTTTATTTAATTATTTATTATTATAATTATTATCATTGCATTTATAATTTTTATAATTATATGCCATATATTAATAGTGATTATGTAATAATAATAATAATTGAATTATTTTATTTGATCATACATCCGTAAGCTAGTTTACTAATAATTGCTTCAAGTGATGCTTCAATAGTTATATATATGTGTGTGTGTGTGTATGTTTGAGTGGGTGAGTAAATGAGTGAATGAGTGTGTGTGTGTAAGTGTGTATTTATAAGCATATATATATAATGCAGTATTATATAATCTAGCCTGGCTAAATAATTAATGAGCTACTTATAAGACTGATTTATTTTAATTGAATTAATTTATGTTGCCCTGGATAATAATTTTTTTTAGTATTTTAATTTATATAATAATAATTGTGTCATTTATTCAAAAAAAATCACAATCAATAAAAATTAATTGACAGTTATTTTTACAAAATTTTTTTAAAAACAAGAGTAATTAAATTTTACAAAAATAATTAAATAATTTTATGCATGTTTTATAAATATTTATTTATCAACAATTTTAAATTATTTTCTTATATTTATGAATTTGATTTTTTTAATTAGTAATTTAAATAATAATTAATTTATATATTGTAGTTAATAAACTTTAAGAAGTATAAATTATAACTTATATTACTTAAAATATTATTTATTTAATTAATCAACATTGTTTACTAATAATATTTATAGTAATAATAATAACAACAACAAATACTGTAGTTTATTATATTAATAATAATATATTATTAAATTATTTAAAAAATAATCAATGTATAGACAAAATTTTAAATAAGTTTACTACTAATACAGTATATATATATATATATATATACTTTATCAAAATAATGACACTTTAATATAAAATAAATAAAATTTTCTGACATTAATGACATATATAAATATATATACTGTACTTACATAGTGTTGACAATATTCATAATATATTATTATTTGAAAATTTTATTTTATTATAACCTCAACTTTTGATAATCAATTTAAAGTCAACTAAAAAAACTACAGCTATTTTTATAAAGTTTTTATATACTGTATATATATATAGAAAATCTTTGCAATTTTAATGGACACTTAACACACAAATACAAACACACAAACAAAATAAATAGCAAACAAAAATGCTTAACAATAGATTTTTTATTTTCAAAAATATAAAAAATATATATTATATTATATATAATGTCTAATATATTGATACTTTCCTTAACTCTATTGTATGTTTTCAAGTGTTTGTCTAAATAATAACAACAACAACAACAACACACAGTATTATACAAAAGAGTAAAATATTTATAAATCATCAAAAATGATTTTTTCATTTTATTTTTTTATGTATAAAAATGTATTAAAAACACTTTTATATATATAAGCACAAAAACAGTTACTATAAATGTCTGCATATATATATATACAGTATATATATATATATATATTTACTGCATATAATTATATATATTGTACTTTTTTAAACCATAAGTAAAAAATAAGCAAACTTTATATATATATATATATAAATATATTTTAACTCTATTTTTTTGAATGTGACATAATTTTAAAGTAATTTTTTCAAATTCATAATATTTTATTATATATAAAATACAAACATTACTCAAATAAACTACAGTACTAGTAGTTGAATATAAAATGCTTAACTATAACAACAATAGAAAACTGATTTTTCATCAAATTATAGATGAGTGGGTGAGATATACGAGTAAATGAATGTTTGAAAGTGAGTGAGTGAGTGGGTTAGTGAATGAATATTAAAAATGAGAAATAGTGAGTGAGTGAGAGAGAGAAAGAGAAAGAGAGATAATAAGTTAAACAAAATAGTTTTAGCCTAAAGTATAATAATATATACAGTAATATTAAAATGTGAAATAAATAAATTAATGGGTAAATATATTTTATATCACATAATCATAGTAATACAGTATATAAAAAATATATTTACTATATTCATATATATATATAGGTAACAAAAAATGTATGTATATTATATTGTATAGTATTTTTTTGAAGCGCAATCTCTTAAAAAAATAAAATTTTGTCTAAACTATTACTAAACTCTCTCTCTATTTTTCTATCATAGTATACATATACTGTACTGTAAAAAAAGGTTTATCCCTTTACCTCCCAGTGCTCTCACTTTTTCACTTTGCTCTCTATTTCGCACTTTTTCTATGCCAATGCTGCAAATTGACACACAAATTGAACAGTAGGGCGAGTGAGTGAGTGAGTGAGAGAGAGAGAGAGAGAGAGAGAGAGAGAGAGAGAGAGAGAGAGAGAGAGAGAGAGAGAGAGAAAATCAATTCCTATATAAATCAACAAAACTTTTTTTTGCTATCTATTCAGTCAAATAGTGACTGATTTTGTTGCTGTTATATAATATATTTTATTTTCCTTATTATTCACAATCTCTATGTATACGAGTGTACAGTATGTGTGTGTGAGTGTGTATACAGGCAGAGGATAATCTATTTGGACATATGATTAGACATCAAACAACTAACTTTTAACAAGACAGTTGGTGTGTGTGTCTGTGCGACTATGTGTATGTGCATCACATACCAGTCCTCTCTCTCTCTCTCTCTCTCTCTCTCTCTCTCTCTCTCTCTCTCTCTCTCTCTCACTCACTCACTCACTCTTTTGCTATACACATGTTTGTTAGCATACATGAGCTTTCTATGTGTGAGTGACTTATACTGCTGACACAATATTCATGTTTTATAACACACGACCTATTGACGCACACATAGGAAACGACACATTTGAATGCCTGTCCTCTATCTATTTCTCTCTCTCTCCAACCGATCTTAGCTCCCAAAATATCGGCAATTGGATTACCGATTAGTGTCGTCGTGTCGTTATATATATATATTTTTTTTGCTACTATTAGTGTTATTATAGATATCCTATACCTCTACTATTCATCTATACAAACTTATACTGTACATACATGTGCCCCAGCAATGTTTAGACAGTCAAATAAAATAATAGAAAACAAAAACTTATATATATTGTGATATTTGTTATTCATTTGTGTAGAAATATATTGTATGCTAACTGTGCACTGATCTGACTGTCTCGACTCCCTGTCCATCCATACCAGTGTAGATCAATGATTTAATATGTCAACCCAATTGATATGCACCGGTCGATATTTAATTCAACCGATTTTTGTTTGTTTCATTTTGCAAACAAATAATAATAATAAAAAAATAACCAATTGATACGTCAACTGTATATTTTTGTGTTAACACAAATATACTCTAATAAATATATATATATATATATATTATATTAATTATAATAATTGTGTTTTTTGTTTGTTTGTTTGATAACTATAATCAAGAATATTCTTTAGATATATTTAGTTTATATAAAATACAACTAAAAATGTTGTTAATTTTTATTATAAAATTATTTAGACTGTTATGTAATAAAAAAATTATTAAATAATTATGACTAATAAATAATAATTATTATTAAGATTATGGTTTTAAATATTTTTTTAAAATAAATATATATGTAATTGTGAATAGTATTAATTACAGTATTAAACATTTTTTTAAAGTAACAACAATAATGTTAATAATATTTTTAAATAAATCATATATTTTTAATTAATATATTAAAATATATTAAAAAAAATTTAAATAATGTTTACAAAATAATGACATAAAAATTGTTTTTTTTATTTAATAAACTTAATAACAATGTATGATAAAATAAAATTATTTTTATTTTTTTTCTATGGAAATTTATTACACTTTTCAAATTGCATTATTAACGGTAAGCTTAATCTAATAGACATTTATAGACATTAATTATATAGTTTGTATAATTATATATACAAAAACTTATAGTACTTTAAGCATAAAACAAAAATTGTCGATAAAATAATGTTTAATGTTTTTAATTAATTCATGGGTTATTATATATTATGTATTAAATAGTGAATATATTTGATTTCAAAATAAAAATAATAATTTAATATAACATGTTTTTTATGAATAAAATACTTATATGATTTAAATAAAATTCTATAATTATTTATTTATTTTTTTAATTATAAACATTATTTGCAAAAATATATTAATAGAATATTGAATATATATATATATATAGTGTATTAATATTAAAATTATTTATTCAATAATAAAGTTATAATAAAAAAATAATAAAATTTAGATTTTTTGTTAAAATTAAAAAATAAATAAATTTAATAAATATATATTAAAATTTACCTAGATACATTAGATGTATCAAATTTACGTACAAATGATGAGCGACGACTTGTTGACTATTTGATGACAAATTACGACAACAATATTAGGCCAGTGCTTAACGCCAGTCAACCAGTTATTATACGATTGGGTATTACGTTGACACAAATTTTTGATTTGGTAAGTGTGTCAATAAATTTTTAATTTAATATATATTTTTTAACAACAACAACAAAACTGTTTTTAATATAATCTAAATGTTTTTATTTTTATCATAGGTTAACCTTATATATATTTATTTTTAATATAATTTATTTATTTTTTGTTAGTTTTAATTTAAACTTCATATTACTATTTATTAAAATATTATATATATTTTTTAAGAAATTTCGTTTTATTTATAAAAAAAAACTATTTCTATGAAAATAAAATTGATATTAAGTATTATTTAATAGCTTATAATTTAGTATTGCAAAAAAACAACTAAAATAAAAATAATATAAATATATAGTATATTAAAATAATCAGTAGTAGTACTAGTGACAATAATATTATTAATATTAATAGTTTCAATATTTAAAATAAATATTAATGTAAATTATATTAAATTTAGTAATACACTTTATCATTTTAAAACGTTTTATATTGATTACATTAATATTTAGAAAGTACTCAATATAAATTATTAAAATAATATAAATATGATATATTATACTAAATAATATACTGTAATATTTATAGATATACTTAACATATTGCAAAATATGCAATGATATGGTATTAGTTGAAAGCAAAAAGTTATTCATCATATCTTGAATAAAATATTTATATTTAAATCTTATAAGTTATACAATATACAGAAAAAAACAAAAAATTTAATATATTTTATTTTAGTAATAATAATAATAATATTTTATATATTTTATGTTCAATTAATGCTATAAAAATACTTTTAATAATATTTATTTTAATTATATTATTTATTTCTAGGATGAGAAAAACCAAGTTCTCACCACAAATGTTTGGTTAGATCAGGTAATAGATATATATAAATATATATATAGTATAATATATTTTTTATTATTAATAAAACTATTTTTGAATACTCTTATTTACAAATGAAAATATTTATCATTAAATATTTAAATAAAAATATAAGTTATTAATATATTTTCTATATACTATTAAACTATTAATAGATTATTATATTTCTGTATTATTTTTATGAAAACGTAATAATTTATATTACATTTTTGTCAATTGAAATCTATTAATAGCAACATTAAATAACAATAATATTTTTTTCAAAGAAAATATTGGTAACAATTTTTAAAATTTTATTACACAATAATTTAGTTTATAATTTAGTTGTTTATTTTTACTAATCTATTAAAGTTAAAATTGCTTTTATCTATTATATTTTTTGTCAAAATAAATGTATTGAATAAACAGAGATTTATTTGACAAAAATTGATTTCTGATGTTTTATTATTATTATTTAAGATTATCATTATTGTTTAGTATTGTTAAAGTTACTGTCAAATTGAAAAAATTATTTTTAAAATTTTTGTTTATATATATATTTTTTTATTAAATATAATTAAAAAAAATTGTCTAAAATATATAAAAGTAAAATCAACAATATAATAATTACATTACAATAAAATTTTTTTTTGATTGTTATTTACCTAAAAAATGCAATAAATATAGTATTATTAAAATAAAATTTATTTAAACAAATTATTTGTTTTTTTGTCTGTAAAATAACTAAAATTCATATAAATTTACAGATTTTTTTTTGATAATATTTATTACAATAAATTATATTTTTTTTGAAAATAATTATTTATTTTAAGGAATGGATCGATGAGTTCCTCGCATGGAATTCCTCATCGTTTGGTGGGTTAACCAAAATCCGTATCCCCTGTGAAAAGATATGGAGACCCGATATTGTACTCTATAATAGGTTTGCTTTTTTAAAAATTTATTTTAATATAATTTTTTTTAATACAAAAATAAAATAATGCTTAATATAGATATATATAACATAAAACTATTATTTTTAAATAAAATATTTCTGTTTAAATTATGTTGAAATAGTGTAAAAAATTTAATAATTATAGTGTTATATATATATGATACATATTTATATTATCGATAAGATTTAGATTTTCTATAGAAATATTTTTATGTATTACTGATAATATCCGTAGATTTTGCATTGAAATGGATTATATTTTTTTAAATAATAAAACAATATTTTTTTCTCTATAAGACACGGGTTATCTATTTTATAAGTGTTTATATTTTTATGTATTTTATTGAAAATTATCATTTATTTTAAATTTTAGAATTCTTAGAACTAAAAATATTATTATTTGAAATAATATAATTTACAAAAAAAATAATTTTAATATAAAATTTTATGTTATTTTTATACAATGTATCAATTTAAGTTTAACTCATATACAGTATAATATAAGACAATATATAATTTTTTTAAATATGTTAAAATTTATTGTTTTATTTTTAATAATATTTCTCAATATTGTTTTATTATTATTATTATTCTGAAACTTTAAATCTAAATAATTTTATTGTAAATTTGTAAAATATAGTCTAATAGTAAATAGCAATAAACATAGTAAAAAATTTAAGTAATATAAATTAAATATTATTAATTATTTGTTTTAATAAAATAAAATATATTTATACAAATGATAAATATATACATTTTTTGATTACAACAAAAATAAAATATTAATTTATAAATAAGCATTTAACAATAATCAATTATATATGATTAATTTAGTATCAAATTTATTAATTATATCCAACTAACTTAGATTGATAATAAATTATTACACTAAAATAAATAAATACAGATCAATTTATTTGAATTGAAATAATAATAAAAATTTCTCAATATTTATATGGCATAGAAATAATCAAAAATAAAATAAAACATATTTTATTTTTATTATTATACTAAATAAATAAAAATAAAATTTGATTGTAATTTTTTGTTTTTTAATATACTAGACAAATGACTGATTACATGAGTTTAAATGGCATTTTCCACTCAATTTTCTATATATATATAATAATATATATATATATATATATTATAGATAGAAAAAACATGTTTTGTTTGTGTATTTTATTTACAATTTTTTGTTGTTGATTTTTCTATTATAACTATTACATTTATTATTAGTTATCCAAAATAATAAAAACTTGAAATAACATAATATATAAAAATAATAACTTTAACAAAAAAAATAGTATTACAAAACACATACACATACACATACACATACACATACACATACACATACACATACACATACACATACACATACACATACACATACACATACACATACACATACACATACACATACACATACACATACACAGTCTATTAAGATTTCTATTTATAAGTTTATATACTGAATATAATATCAAACATTAGATTATATATATATTGTATATATATTTTTTGCTATCATTGGCCATAAAGTTATCATTAATACAGTGAGAGATTTCCGCTCCAACTGTTATTTTTGTTAGACATTGACTCCATTGACTTGACTGACACTTACATATTGCTGGGCCAGTAGTAGTAGTAGTAGTGGACAACCGGTTAGTTTAAGCTATATGAGTTGAGTGGTCAACTATTTATCAATGTGACCTATAATCAAATATATAAAGTATATAATAAACTGATATATAATATATACACATATATATAAGCATAGTTCAATCCTTATTATTAATCCCTGTGCAATGAGTTGTATATAAATTTTACATTGTGTGTGTGTTTGTATGTATGTGTGCTTATATGTGTGTTTATTTGTGTGTGTGTGTGTGTGTGTGTGTGTGTGTGTGTGTGTGTGTGTGTGTGTGTGTGTGTGTGTGTATGTATGTATGTATGTATGTATGTGTGTATGTATGTATGTGTGTATGTGTGTGTGTATGTATGTGTGTATTGTACTAATATATATATTATTGAAATAATATTTAGTAAATGAATGAATAGGACAATTTTCAATTGTATATTTTTCAGATAATAAATCTATTTTAAACAATAAAATTGTTAGATTATCTATTTTATTATTATTATTATTGACTCACAGAAAATAATAGACAAATTTATTATATTTTAATAATATTGTAAATAAATTTCTAAATACAATATATATATAAATTTATAATAAATATTAGTAACAATCTATTAGTACATACATCAGCATTATATTAATAATAATAATAATATTAAATTTTATAGTAAAGTTATATACAGTAACTGTTATTTTCAATAAAACTTTTTACTAGATTATCATAAATTATATGTTCATAGCTTTTATGGAATTCATATTCTGGAAGAATATATATATATATATATTTATAATAAAAACTATTATTATTTGCAATTTTTACTATCAAATTGAAAACAATAAAATAATATTTTGAAGATATATATATATATAGAATATTCTTATAAAATTTAAAATGTATTATAAGAAATAATGCATAATAATTGTATTTTAAATTCAAAATATTATTACCTACTATTTATTTGATTGTTTGTTTTTATACATATATATATATATATATACTTTAGGCTATTGTCTAAAAAATAGAAATAAATAATTTATAAATACATAGTTTTTATTGTATATACTCTGGTAATATAGATTTTATAATTTAAATCAGTTTATTAATTATATACTTTTAATTAATAACGTTAGTATAAAAATATAATAATAATAATAGTTTATTTAATTATACAACAATAGGATTGATTAAAAACATATATTTTTTGAGGTAAAAATATTTTAATTAATATATAGTATAATTAATTAGTAAATACAAAAAATAGATTAAATTTAATATAAAAAAATTGAAACTTTTATAAAAATTATAATAAAATTTTTCATATAAAACATTAAAATTTATGTTTTTATTATATTTGTTATTGTTTAGTTTTATCAAAATGTCAATTAATAAAAATTTATAATTTAAATTATTAAGATTTTAGTTTTAGATTAACTAGAATTTTCAAAATAATTTTAATTTATTTTAATTACTCTAAGAAATATTTGTCTAAATTATTTATTTTTTAAGTATTATTAACATTAAATGTTAATTTTATTTGTTTTTCTTAAAATTAAATATATTTTTGAAAATTTTTAATATCACTAATTAATAATAATATGTTTAATAATAGTAGATAAACAAAAAAATAATAATAATATTAAAAATCTCAGAATTAATTATCAAAGTTTACTTTTGATTTTTAATAAATAAATCACAAAATAAAAGTTTATATATTTTAATATAACTATTTGCTATTAAATTAAATTAATAATACACTAATGGATTTGTTTTGTACAGTAAATACACTGTAAAAGTAAAACAAATTTTTACTTAACAATCACTTTCGGTATCATTATATTTATTGTCCGATAATTTTTATTATACTATAATACTGTGTATATATATATATATATATAGTAAATACCAATTTATATTTATTGTTAACTCACATATAATTGATTATTATTATTATGCATGATATATATTAGATTTTTATAAATTAGCCAAAAAAAATCAGTTTAAATCTATTAATAATTTCACAGACAATACAAATAGAAAAAAATGTTTCATTAATTTAGCAATTAATCCGTTTGCAAAGTTTTAAACTTGAAATATTATTTACAAACATACATACATACATAGACATACACACATACACACACATATATATATATATACAGACTCACAATTCAATTGAAGCAAACATTCAAAGCATACATAAGTATTAAAAGTATAGTTAAAGGGCTGTATAATTAAATCCACAAGAAATTAATCATTTACTCTCTCTCTCTCTCTCTCTCTCTCTCTCTCTCTCTCTCTCTCTCTCTCTCTCTCTCTCCCATTCACTCACTTACTAACTCATTGAAAATCAACTAAACATAGCGTAAGTGAGTTTATAAATGATTTGGGAATATAAAAAAAGCAACAAAAAAAATGTCATCAATTTATATACAATATATATATATAATACACTTATAAGTTATATACAGCTTAATATTATACAATATTATTTGCTACACACAAACACATACACCAACAAAAAAAATCTCTGCATCTCAACCCTTAAACCCAATTATTTATATACAAACGATATATCAATTTAATTTAAATGTATTGAAAGTAAGGTTAAAGTGTATATCGATAGGAGAGTATATCTATGGATAGTCCTACTGTTAGTATAATGTAGTAGTTATTGATTTTGAATGTTTGAAATAGACTCTCTCTCTCTCTCTCTCTCTCTCTCTCTCTCTCTCTCTCTCTCTCTCTCTCTCTCTCTCTCTCTCTTTCTGTGTATGTCTATGTTTATGTGGCTATTTGTTAAGCCTTAAAAATATGATATATTGACCAATATTTTGTATTAAAAAATCATATTTATTAGTGAGAGAGAGAGAGAGAGAGAGAGAGAGAGAGTAAAAAAGTCAATCGATTTATTAAAAAAAAATATTTTCATCAAAATAAATTATTCTTTATATATGATTACATTGCAATATAAATTAATAAGCTAAATATAGTAACTATAATAAAATAATATTATTATAATACCAATAATTTTGTACATCAATGATATAGAATATATATATATACTGTATATTAATTGGAAAGCAATTTATTTACAAATTATATGTGTCTAATAATTTTTATTTTTTATATATACAGTATATATATATATTTATTGATTGAAGTACAGTACAGTAATATACTGTATCTATAAAATTAATACAAGAAAAAACAAGAAAATCATTTTATATTTATTAATTTTATTGCGACAATTAATTGTACAATAAATATGATAAAATTAATTTATTGACAAATAAACAACATTTATTAGGTTTATATATAAAAACATGTTTTGTTTATTTAGATTAATATATTTATTTTTAACAAATTATTTGTAAATAAATAAAATATTAATGTAAAACAAACAAATAATATAAATAATTTATTATTTACATTACAAATGACAAATTTACAAATTTTTGATAGGATTTGATTTAATTTATAATATTTACAAATAAATTTTCATTTATTTATTTAAATTGATTATATCATAAAACTCATAATATTTTAGAGATTAATCATTTAGATTAGTATTTACTATTAACACATAATTAGATTACTTTTCTTATTAATAAATTTACAGTAATTTTTAAAATTTAAATAAGATATTAATTAATATTTACAGTATATTATTATTATTAAATTTATTTATAATAATTTTTTAAAAATATCAAAGTGCCGACGATTATACACGAGGCTATATGAACTCACGCGCCATCATAGAGCCCAGTGGTAACGTGTTTTGGCCGCCGCCCACCAAATTCCGTAGCACGTGTCAGGTAGATGTCACGTACTTTCCGTTTGACGATCAAAAATGTAAACTAAAACTCGGTTCATGGATTTATGATGGACTACAGGTATATATATATATATATTAATATATAATTTCATTAAATTATTTAAATATTTTAAGATAAAATTAAGATAAAATTAAGAAAATAAAATGTTATTATTATTATTATTTTCTTATATTGAATGAATTAATGATTAATTAATTTTTTTTGTAAAGTATACTATAATTATAAAAAATTCTAATAATAATAAATAATAATAATATAGTTTAACAAATGTATCGAAATTTAAAAACAATTTAATAATAATGTATTGAATCTTATTTTCAAAGCTAAATATTTCTTTATATCAACTTATTTATTGTAATTATAAATGTTTAAAAATATTTTAATTTATTTAATAATACTAATAGATAATATAGTAAAGTTAGATAATTTATTAATTTAAAGTTAAAATAATATTATTTATTAAATTGAGTTTTATGAAATGAAAAAATATTGATATAATATTGTCTTACGATCTTATTTTTAAATATAATAAATTATCAATTTTAATTGAAAATTAGAGATATAAATTAAATTTTATAAAATAATTTAGTTAGTAATGTAATGTAATAAACTTAAGTAATTTAAATAATTATTACATTTAATAATAAATGATAGGTTGATGTACTGAATAGGACGGCTGAGGTAGACATGTCTAACTATATACCTAACGGGGAATGGGATCTACTCGAGGCCAACATTGAACGCAATGTTGTCTACTATTCCTGTTGTCCGGAACCGTTTCCCGATGTGACCATAACGTTGACCATACGGCGCAAAATATTGTACTATACCTACAATGTTATACTTCCCTGTATGATGCTATCGGTGCTCACACTACTAGTATTTTGTATACCTCCCGATTCGGGCGAAAAAATAGCACTCGGAGTAACCGTATTGTTGGCCTTTTCGGTGTTTATGTTAGCCATATCGGAAAAATTACCGGAAACTTCCGAATCTATACCATTATTAGGTAATGAAATTTTCAATATAATTAGAAAATTAATCCCTCCAAATTCCTATCTAAATATATGTATAATTAAATAAAATAACATATAAATTTATAAATTAATTGATTAAGTTACAGTTTTTTTAAATATACATATTTTATAATTAAATAAAAACAATTTTAAAGTTTTTAATTAACATTATTAGATTTTAAGATTTTAAGTATAAAAATATATTAATCTAAATTAAATATTTATAAAATAATTTGATTATCATAATAAACAAATTATTTATTTTTTTATAACAATTAATAAGTAATTATATTTTGAATAAATAAGAATAATAGTAATAATCTATATAATATATATTTTTAAATGTTAAATCTAAATTATTTAAATATTTGATAAAAATTACAGTTTTTCAGTTGCCATACTATCACTAAAAAAAATTTGATAAATTTGATAACTTTTTTTGTAGGTGGGGTGGGGTAGGTCAAGTTTCATATTATATGTATTAATTAATTTAATTTAGTAACTTTAAAATTATTTATCCGATTGAACTTAAATTTTTTTTCATTTCTTTGAATTACAAAAGCATTAATTTTTATATATTATATATCAATATTTAGAAATATAATAAATATCTTTAGATTATGATAATTAAAACTAACATTTTATTTTTATAATTACCATATAAAATAATTGCACATTTATATTAGTAAAATATATTGTAATATATGTTCAAACGAAATATTCATATTTTTAATTGTATTTTTGTTGTTATTGTTATTTAGGTATATATTTAACAGTCGTAATGAGTATAACATCGATATCGGTTATAATGACAGTAATTGTACTAAATTTTCATTATCGTGGACCACAACGTCGTAGATTACCAAGGTGGCTCAAAACAATTAGCACATTATCTAATAGTACATTAAAACATTATTTTCCATACATGGTAATTTACTAATTTTAATAATTTATTTAATTTTTTTAAATATATAATTATTAGTTTTAATTACAAGTATTAATAAAATATCAAATTTTATTGATTTAAACAATAATATTATAAAAAATTATAATATATATTTGTAAAACTGTAATTTTGAATAATAAGTAAATAGAAGTTGTATTATAATTCAATTTATATATAAATTGAATTTTTTTTTAATCAGATTAGTTCATAATAATTTTATATTTTTATATATATAAAAAAAACTGTAAATTTATATACAAATTAGTAAAAAAATATTAAATATTTATTATAATTAGTTTTTATAGGCTTGGTTTGTTTCAAAGATATAATTTATGTATTAAACTATAATTTAATATAATTTTTTTTAAATGTTTTAAAGAGTATAACCAACAAATATGCAATGGGTGCTGGTGGTGGTGGTGGTGGGGGCGGTATCGGAGGTGTTGCCACAAACAATACATTTTTTAATTTATCACACAATGTACAGCCAGATGATCAGCAGTCGGGTGATCTACTGGAACAGCATCTAAAATATAGACAACTATGTCAACAACAACAACATTTACTACAACAACAACAACAACGAGATCAACCATTGTATAACAATATCGGGAACAGTTGTCTACCGACAAACCCGATACCACTGATCGATACGTATGGCCATCGATACGCACAGAGTAGCGAATCGTTGACTAATATTGAAGACAATTATAAACTATTTCTACATATGAATCGTACAAAATCTTGCAATCGATTAGCCAATAATAATATTCAAACAATCAATAACAACAACAGCAGCTCAGGTACAACACCTACAGCTACGGCCAATACACCTATCGGTGCTCAACAACAACGATCGGGTAGTAATCCAAAATCACATAAGTGTACATCTAGTTGTGATAATGATTGCCAACAAAAACAACAACATCATTGTGCCAATTATGATAAGTTGATGACAGCTCACGAGGAACTGATCGACACAATGTGTCGGTATATGCTATGGAAAAGTGAACTGAAAGCCGGGGACAGTGCGGTAATACACGAGTGGCGACTATTGGCACTGTTTGTCGATCGCATACTATTCTGGATATTCTTTATCATAACGTTTTGTTCATCCGTTATGTTTCTGATAGTCATTCCTATACAACAACGAGGCTTTCCATTCTATACGTATACATAGAGAGAGAGAGAGAGAGAGAGAGAGAGAGAGAGAGAGATAGAGAGAGAGAGAAAACATATATATTGTATTTAACTGTAAATAATATTATCATTTTAATTATAATAATGTAATCCAATGTAATTATATTATTATTATTACTGAATAAAAAAATGTAAATAATGTAAAGTAAAATAATGTAGATATGATTTTTCTATATATCTATAAATTATATTAATAATAAATTTATGAATTTTTTTTGTGATAACATAAAATTTATATGATATAATTATTATAATTGATGTAATATGTAAATTGTTTATTTTTACTATTATTAATTGTTTGATTGATTCATAGATTGATTAATTGCTATTAACTTTGATAATGTTATTATATATATATTGATTTATTGTTATTAACTATGAAATTTAGAAATCATTTATTATGAAATTAGATAATTATTTATTTAATTATTAATTATTTTTAAATAAAAGTTATATTTTATTGCTTGTTATTATTTTAAATTAATTATTAAATCCGAGTAAATATTATTTATAACTGTTAACTTATAAACTATGTTTTTTAAATAATAATAAAAATTATATTGTATAATAAAATTTTATTTAATAAAAGTTATCTGATTGTTTACATTAATATATGATAATATAACTTTATTTTTTAATATAGTTTTAATAAAATGATATAATTAATAAGTAATTATAATATTTATAAATAAACTAAAATAACTAAAATTTTATTTATTTTTATAATTAATTAATTAATTATTCTATTAATTTATATTATAATAAATTTGTTAATAGTATTTATAAATGATTTTAATAACAAATATATTTAATAATAATATCGGTGAGTAATGGTTAGTAGTAATTAGTTAATTATATTTTTAATTAAATAAACAAATAATTTATGATAAAGATTCTCTAATATTTTTGATTTAGTTTTATTTTTATTTGATAAAAAAAATAAAAAATTGATTAATAATTAAACTTGTGTAATAATACTAAAATAACTAATAATTTTTGTTAATATGATAATATTTAGTAAATATTAAATTATAATTATTAATATTTTTTTTTAAATTTTGATTTATAATGATTAATGTAATAATCTTTATTAGAAAAATTAATCAATAATATAATATTTATTTAAATATAATTGTAGTTTTAGATTATATATATATATATTTTTAAAACCCAATTGCTAATAAAATAAATAGATAAGTTACATTTATAATTAATAATAATTAAAAAAAACTATAAATATTAATATTTTACTCAATGATAATTTTGTTTTTGATAAATTTAACCAAATGATACTATTTTAAGTAACTATTTAATATTAATAAATCAAATATGGTTTATACTATACTGTACACTATATATAGTATCTTACTATCAATATATATATAAGTTTTATTTAAGTAAATTAAGATTAAATACTATTCAATACAACAACAACAAAAAATCTATACATATATATTGAATATGTATTACATTTTTTCTCATATATTATTAAATGTTGATATGAATTTATATATTTATATATGATCAATGATTTTTGCCTTGATAAGTTTGTGTTGTATAATTTTTATTTTGCCAAAACTTATGTTAATATAGTATTAATGGATTTATTAGATTTATTTTCAGTTTGAATTACCATATTATAATCAATCACTTTTAGACAAACAAAAAAAACAAAAACAAAATAAATTATAATAATACATATTATTAGTTTAGTAAAAAAAAGGCTAATTTAGTTTTATTAAGTAAAATCATAAAATCTAAAAATAGTTAATTACAAATTTATATATATATGTTATATACTTGATATAATTGTTTGAATACAATATTGAAATCTAATAAAAAAATATATAACTAAAATTTTATACATTTTAATTAAAAAATAATAAACATATTTTATCTTTGAAATAAAATTTATTTACTCAACATTTAGCTATGTATATAAAGATAACTTACAATATATATATATACTATTTATATATATTTATTATATAAACATTTTTTACATTTATTTAGCAATATATATACAAACAATAAGCTTATATTATAAATAACATTTAATAAACTAAGCAGAATATATATTATTATAAAAATATGTTTTTATGGACAAAGTTTTAATTACATTTTGTAATTAATAATATAACATAGTTAACTATATTAGTATATATATATATATATACTAATAAATTTATTAATAAATATATTATTTGAGAAAATTATTTTAATTTTTAGTAGTTAATTAATATTATTTTATTTATTTTTATTTAACATGCATTATAATTAATTTTTAAAAATTTTCAAAAATAAATAATTAAATTCGTTGATTGCATTGTTATTGATTACTTTTAATTATTAAATAAATAAACAATTTAGATATATAATACTATAATGTAAACATATAATTATTCAAATAAAACTATTATCTTTTTAACTAAATATTAAGTTAAGATAAAAAATCAATAAAATAGTTTTATACTATAATTTTATGTGTTGTATTAACAACATTAACAACAACACAAAAAATAGATTGTAACATAATATATCATTTTATTTTATTTTTAACATACAAGTGGTGTTATCATACGTTATATATATACTATATTTTGTATATAATGTACACAAATAGTTTGTAAAAAATAGTTAATTTTAGATTACAAATAGTTTTTTTTGTGTGACTAAAATTTATTTTTTATATAAATTTCTATGAACTTTATAAATATATATATAATATTTTTTATATATATGAGTATCTGTCATAGATATATAATCAATAGATGATATTATCTTTATGTTAGTATTTCTATTGTTTGATTTTTTTGTATGTGTCAACAATATGATAGAGAGAGAGAGAGAGAGAGAGAGAGAGAGAGAGAGAGAGAGACTGTATTCACATAAATTAAAATACTGTTAAAGTATTTAATGTGTGTATATATATATGTTGTAAATGTTTTTTGTTGTTAAATTCAATTTGTTTTTATAATATAATTATTCGATATATTAAATAAATAGATTAAATATCTATAATATAATCTACACATAATTAAATATACTGTCAAATATTTGTATTATGTGTGTATATATACTGTATATATATATATATATTAAAAAAACATTTTGTTTTATTTGTTTTATTTATTTATTTTTTTAAATAGTAAAGTAAGGAAAGCCTCGTTGTTGTATAGGAATGACTACCAGAAACATAACGGATGAACAAAACGTTATGATAAAGAATATCCAGAATAGTATGCGATCGACAAACAGTGCCAATAGTCGCCACTCGTGTATTACCGCACTGTCCCCAGCTTTCAGTTCACTTTTCCATAGCATATACCGACACATTGTATCGATTAGATCTTCGTGAGCAGTCATCAGCTTATCATAATTGGCACAATGATGTCGTCGATGTTGTTGACAAGCAGTTTTGTTGTCACCATCACTACAACAACAACAACAACTACTACCGGAGCAACAGCATACGTGTTGTTGGTGTTGTTGTTGCTGCTGATGATGATGATTATCACTAATTACTGGTGTTTTTCCAGCACCGGTAGCTGTAGTGTTGGCAGTGGCTGTAGTGGTGGTTGTGTTGTTATAATTATTTAGCAAACGTGTACACGATTTTGTACGACTAATGTTTAACAATAGTTTATAGTTGTCTTCAATATTGATCAACGATTCGCTACTCTGTGCGTATCGATGACCGTATGTGTCGATCAATGTTGTCAGCGGTGGTGGTTGTGGTATCGGTGACGACAGATTGCGATGACTACTACTACTGTACCAAACATTGTTGGCATGTAATGACTCGTCTCGTTGTTGTTGTTGTTGTTGTTGGTGTTGTTGTTGAGGTGTATGTAATCTATAATTAGTTTGTTGTTGTTTTTGTTGATAGACATTGTTATCATTAATTGTTGAGCTATTTTTCATATCCTAAAATTAGAAAAAATAATAATAATAATAAATTAATTTAAAAATAAAACTATAATTTAAATTATTAATATATAATTTTTATTAGAAATATTGTAAACTATTAATTAATTTTATATTACTATTATAGTGTCTCAAAAAATTATAAATTATTAATTAAAAAAAGTAAAAAAATAATTATTCACATAACTATAAGATTTTATAAAGTATATTTTTTTAGAAAAAAAAACATTATAAAATATATATTATTATATATTATTTTCTTTAAATTTTTATCTTTAATTTTTTTAATAAATAAATTTTCAAAAATATTTTCTCATTATCCGATTTTTATCTATTAATTAATAATTTTACTAATCTATTAACAATTGTATTATTAAATAAAATAATTTTTAACAGTTTTTTTTAATTACCGACTGATTATTTAATTGTTCACTTAAGTCATTGTTTGATAGTTTAGTAATATATTTGATCCAATCGGGTATTTTGCGTTTAACTGGTCCGCGATAGTGAAAGTTAAGCACAATTACCGTCATTATTACCGATACGGATGTAATGGCCATAACTACTGTTAAATATATACCTAATATAAAAGTAAAAATCTATTAATATTTTATTATTATCACAAAAACATCAAAAGTCATAAATTAGTACATTTTATTAACAAATTTGTTTTTAAATATAATAATAATATTAATAATAAATTTAATTTAATTAAATTTTATGTTTTAGAGTTCAAATTTTAAAAGTCAATTTTGGTTTTCAACTTCTAGTTTAATATTTATTTTTAAAAATATTACTTAAATTTAGTCAAAATAAACTATAAATTAAATTTTTAAAATTTTATTTCAATATCAAATTATGACAATTATTTTGTTATAATTAATTAATATATAAATATTAATTGTATATAATTATAAAATTATTCACATATTATTTTTAATTATAATTTTTCATCATAGATATTAATGAATCATTTATTAATATAATATAATCTATAGTTTGATATATTTAGATGTCACAATTTATTTTAATATTAATTTAAAAACAGTAATATTATCAAATATTTAAATAATTTACATAATAATACTAAACTTTTTATAATTTAGACTTAACTATGGATTCGTTTTTTTAGTTTTATCTACCATTTATATTTAAATAAATTATCATATAATATAACATTTATTTTTTTAAAAAACTAATTAATTAAATTGTATTTTATTTTTAAATAACAAACAAAAATTTTGAAAAAAACTGTAAATTATACGTTTATAATTTTAATGTATAATGTTGTTTTATTAATGTATTAGTACTATTAGACTTGAATCTATTAGACTTGAAAGTGAAACTAAAGTTAATAAAATTATGTAATTATAATTACCTAATAATGGTATAGATTCGGAAGTTTCGGGTAATTTTTCCGATATGGCTAACATAAACACCGAAAAGGCCAACAATACGGTTACTCCGAGTGCTATTTTTTCGCCCGAATCGGGAGGTATACAAAATACTAGTAGTGTGAGCACCGATAGCATCATACAGGGAAGTATAACATTGTAGGTATAGTACAATATTTTGCGCCGTATGGTCAACGTTATGGTCACATCGGGAAACGGTTCCGGACAGCACGGGTAGCGGACAACATTGCGCTGAATGGTAGCCTCCAGTAGATCCCATTCCCCGTTTGGTACATAGTTACTCATATCAATTTCACCTGTCCTATTTAGTACATCTACCTTTATTTTAGATTAAAATTAAAAGTTTTTTTTTAAAAATAATAATTTTTAATACTTCTAATTATAAAATAATCAAATTTATCAATAATCTTATTTTTATTAATTACAATATTTATTACATATATATAAATTTAAATTAAATAATATAATTTTTATCCTAAAATGCATATTTTTACTAATAAAAATAAAATCTTGAATCCATTTTTAATTTCTATTTTAATAATTTATAATTAGATAATAATTTAGTAATTGTTTTAGTATTTATTTTACAGTTTTGATTTTTAAAAAATCTAATTATTTTTAATTTTTATTTTTATTATTAGTTCAAAACTGTAAAATAAATATTAAAATAAATTATAAATTATTATCTAATAATAAATTACATACTAGTTTGATTCAAAAACGATAAATTAAATTTTTATTATATTAAAACTTTAAAATTATAGTTTATTTTATATGTAATTTTTTAATTAGAAATAAACAAGTAAAAATTATAATTATTTTTAATTACTATTTATTATTATTATAAATATTTGTTTATTGATATGAATTTGTTTGATAATAGAAATGCTAATTATTTTTTAAAAATTTATAACATTAATCAATTAATATCTAATCTCAATTAAAAGTTATGTCAATTTTAGACTATAAAAAAATATTTCTAAAAAAACATGTAGTAATTACTTGACAATTATTTTTAAATAACTCTAATTTTAAAACTATTGATTTTGATTATTATTATAATCAATTATGTTTATTATATATTTATATATGAATTTAATAATAATAATAATAATAATAATAGTAATAATAATTTTAATTCAAACCTGTAAACCATCGTAAATCCATGAACCTAATTTGAGCTTGCACGTTTGATCGTCAAACGGAAAGTACGTGACATCTACCTGACACGTGCTACGGAATTTGGTGGGCGGCGGCCAAAACACGTTACCACTGGGCTCTATGATGGCGCGTGAGTTCATATAGCCCTGCGTATAGTCATCAGCGCTACAAACAAAACAAACAAATAAAATATACATTAAATGATTTATTTGCAGTATTTTTTATAATGATATAAATAGCAGATAAATATACTATACATTGAATATATAAATATATAATAGTAAATAAATAAATAAAAGTATCTACGTCAATTACTAGCACTAAATAATAATAATAAAAAAGATAATGAGATATAATTATCATTATTTATAAAAGTGAACATGTCTATTATATTTATTTTTTATTATTATTTCTATTGCATATATGTTTATATATTTTATTTATATAGTATTCACTAGTCTATAATAATAAAATGTTATTGATTTGACAATTACTATAAATAAAAATCTCAATGAATTATTATTATTATTATTATCATTAGTTTATAAATTGCTACATATTCATAATTTTTAAATAGAAATATCATTTTTTTGTTAAAAATATTTTTTCTATATATATATACATAATATATATTTATGTTTTATATTTAGCTGATTGATTCAAACAAAAAGTTTTTTTTAAAAATATTTTATTTTTTATTTAACAAAACAAAAATCAATACAAACACTAAAAACTCATAATATAACTAACAATTTAATGATATTTCAATTGACGTTTATATGTATAGAATTATTGCTGACTTGTGAGCAAAATAGTGTGTTTTTACTATTATTTTTTTTATCCCAATGTCTATAATAATGGCATCAAATAATTGGCTTTTATTTAATGCAAATCCAAGTGAATTGTGATTTTTGTTTTGTATTTAATTGAATCGATTTTTTCATTAGATTCTTATATTTTGTAACTAAAAAAATATTATTTTTATTATTTAAAAATTTTATAGTATTATAATATTATAGCAATAATTAAAATTAACAAATGTAAACTTGAAAATTTATTTTTATTAAAAAAATGTTGTTTTGTATTTTATTTATATAAACAAATAGTATTTAAATTTAAATAAAAATATTTAAAATAACTTGAAATTGTATATTTAAGTTATTATTATATTTTTAAAGTTTAATATATATATATATGGGTTGGACTCAGGTATAATTAATTTAATATTTATATGATATTATTAGTATATAAAATCTATAATATAATTTTAATGATTAATTTAATAAAATTTTAATACACAATCAAAACAATTATATTAAAATCAAAATCATACACACATTTATACTTAACTATATAAATGTCAAAAATTATTAGTGAATATTCTGTATATATATATATATATATATATATATATATATATATATATAAAAGTATTTGTATAACAAACAAAAAAAATAACTGATTTTTAGCTAAAGTCGTATTATAGTAATATATTGTAGCGGTTTATAACAACTAATAATTGACTGAAAGAGCATTCAATTGAAAATATTTTGTATACACACAAAAAAATATATACACTTTATATATAAACAGAGAATTAATATATATTTAACCAAAAAATATTGTGTACAAAGCCATTCAAAGCATTTGTAATAATAATAATAATAATAATAATAATAATAATAATAAATAAGTAAATGAAAAAAACTAAATAACACCGAAAAAAAACTTAAACACAAAGTTACACATAAAACAAAACTATACACAAAAAAAAACAAAATATATCATAAAATATAGTGTTTACTAATAATAATAATAATAATAATAATAATAATACTATACAGTATTATACAGATATATAGATAGAAAAAACTTATTTTTTGAAGATTTATTTCCTATCTATTGTATATCATAATTGACAATATAATATTTTGCTTTTTATTTATATATATAAATTTAATACAGTATTTATTAATAAAATAAACAAATATATATATATATACTAATATCCATCTAATCTAACTCAACCAATTCCTAATTTAAATTGATTTATTTAATCAACCATAATTTCTATTGAAAAAATGTGACCAGTGTAAAAATTATACATAATATTTATTTTTAAAAATATAATTTAAAAATAAACGCATTTATAGTATTAAAAAAAACTGTTGATATATTTATAATAAGATTTAGTGTCGAAATAATTTGATTGGAAATACTCTATAGACTGTACTTATAATAGTATTAATAAAATAATAATAAAATTACTTTTTTTTGTTTGTTTGTTAATAAAACTCTAGAAAATTGCAATTTTATAAATAAATATTTGTTTGTGTGTTTGTGTTATATATATTTATTTTCTTTATTTATCTCTATATTAATATTACTAATGATAACTATACTCTATCTAGATTGCTATATATATATATAGTTACATATAATATAACCTTGATACGATAAATATAATAGATATACTTATAAATATAGTTTAGATAAAAACTATATTATATTTGAGTGGAAATGGCATTTACTGTCACCCAAGCTATCAGTCATCATAAATGATACAATCATTTTAGAAAAAAAGAAAGTGAAAGATATATATATATATATATATTGATATATACTGTATATATATATATATATATATAAAGAGATATAATATTAATATTATATAAGAGTATTGCAAAAATATATTAATATATGTGAAAATTGTGTTTAAATATACATTATATTTAGAGTGATGTAAATTTATTTAGTTTTTATTTTATTTTTTTGAATGGCTAATGTGATAGACTGTATCTATTTTTGATATATATATATAAATATAAATATGTGTGATATATACTGTATAAGTATTTTGGACTTTCGAAAAAAAATATTTTAATAAAATATTTGATAAAAAAATATAAATAAAATATTTATTTAGTCAAATTGCTACTTGATTGAATGCTTGCGAGAAAAAAATAAATAAATAAATAGATAAAAGTATTATTTGCTTATTTTTTAGGAAAATTTATATTTTATAAAAAAAAAATTTTATAATAGAATAGTCTATTTTTAACATTTAATAAATATATATATAATTTATTCAAATCAGAGTTTTATTTATATAAAAATATATTTATAGTTTAAAATAATATAGATTAGTATCATAATCTAAAATAAATTTTGTGAACTTGATTTAAATACTTATTTTAAAAAATCAATATTAAATCTCTCTCTCTCTCTCTCTATATATATATATATATATTAAAGTTCAATAATTATTTACATGTAAACTATTACTAAAAATAATACTACAAATAACACGAAAAAAATAATTTCAATAATTTTATTTTAAATAATATGTATTTTTTAAAAAATAAGTTTTTGTAAAAATAATAATAAAATCAATAATATTCATTTGATAGTTTTTATTAAATATTATGCTGATATACAATTTTAATAATAATACAAAATAAGGTAATAAAAAATATAATTGAATTTTTAAATAAAAAAAATAATATTTAATATAATTTTAAATATTTACAACAACAGCAAAAAAATCTAGAAAATCTATCAATTTATTTATTAAATCTATTTTAATAAAATAATATTTCAAAATAAGATTTTATTTAAACTATACTTATACTATACTATAGATATATTGTTGCTATATTATCAATAGTTTTTTTTATATATATTAATACTTTATATACTGTTTATAAAATAAAATACTGTATATAAAAAAAGCAAACCTATTATAGAGTACAATATCGGGTCTCCATATCTTTTCACAGGGGATACGGATTTTGGTTAACCCACCAAACGATGAGGAATTCCATGCGAGGAACTCATCGATCCATTCCTATAAATAATAATAATAATAATAATAGTAATAATAGTATTAATTTCAGTTATTGAGACCGAGAAATAAACAATATTGTAATATACAGTATATATATATATATATATATATATATATAATATGATGAAAGATGATATCAATATCTTAATAAATATATATATTGTATATATATTTATAGATATGTTTTATACGTATAACTTATACAGTATATATATATATATACCGTATATCCTGTCTATTGAATACATGTATGGCTTAAACTTCTGTATAATACTATTAACAATAATAGGAAAAATGCGAGAGAAAACACAAAATAATATAATTGTGTTGTTTTGTTATGTGATTTGTGGCCACAGAAAAAAACTATTGACTAAAATAACATCAGTGGCAGCAAAACAATAGGCAAATATATTTTATTATAAAAATTATACTAATAATATTTTTTTGTGATTTAATACAAATATAGTTGTGTGTGTGTGTGTGTATGTGTGTGTGTTAGACTATATGTGATCAATTTATTTTGTATTGAACTATATATGATTTATTATTAAACTTGAAATTGAATTTTAAAAAATATATAATTGCTATACAAATATATACTGTTTAATATAGTAAATTTAAAATATTTTTAAAAAATTGTTATTAAACTATTTGTTATTATATTTATTATGATATATGATCAAATTATATATATATATATATATATATATTGTTTCTGGTAAAATAATTTATTTTTAATTATAAAATTAATTTTTTAATACATTATTTTTTTTAATTTGACAGTTTGATATTATTTTTTTTAATAATACTATAATATTTATAATTTATTTGATGTTAAATCTAACTTTATTTGCATTTATTTTAATTTAATTAAAAACAAAACATTAAATGATAAACTTAAAATCTTATTGTTTTATTAATTTATTTGAATCGTTCAAATTGAAAATTTTACAGTAAATTAATTTTAAACAAAAATAAAATTATATAAGTGTTTTTTGAAAACAATTTGTTTATATACTATCCTTTATTATGAAATCTACTAAATAAATGGATAACAAAATTAAATTAATATTTAAATTAAATTTTTTAATTACAAACATTATATTTAAATGAATATTCTTTTATTTGGCATATTTTATATATAATAAATCTTTAATTAAAATCATTGAATAGTGTATATTACAATATTAACCAAAAAGTTTAATTATTTAATTAAAATATTTTTATTTTCTTTATATATAAAATGTTGTTAATTTATTTAATTGTTAAAAAATATTTTTTCTCTCAAATTTAAAATATAATAAAATTTTGTTTAATTAATTACCTGATCTAACCAAACGTTTGTAGTTAGCACTTGATTTTTTTCATCCTTGATGTTAGAGAAAAATTATTATATTTAAAAAACAATAATTATATTTTCAAAAAAACAATAATTATATTAAAAAACAATAATTATATTTTAAAAAACAATAATTATATTTAAAAAAAATAATTATAATAAAAAAACAATAATTATATTAATAAAACAATAATTATATTTAAAAAAAACAATAATTATAAAAAAATATTAATTTATTAAACTGTATTAAACTTAATTAATTTAAAACAGAAAATTATTAAAAATAATTAAATTATTAATTAATTAAATAAATTGTTTTTAATAAAAATCTACCAGATCAAATATCTGTGTCAATGTAATGCCCAAACGTATGATCACTGGATCGCTGGCATTGAGAACCGGTCTAATAGTGTTGTCATAGTTTGTCATCAAATAGTCCAGTAGTCGTCGTTCATCATTATAGCGAAATGAAAAATCAATTGTACCTTGATAATAATAATTATAATAATTTTTTTAAAATACAATTAATCAATTAATTAATATTACTAAAATTTTTTTTTTGTTTAATCACAATTTTTAGAATTATCGCTGTTCTAATAATATAATTAATTACAAATTTGATAAACTGTATAATAATTAATTAATATTCATAAATATATGAATAAATTATTATTAGTATAAATTTAGAGTGTTTAAGATAAATAATATTTAAGGCACTATATATATATCAATACATTATTTTTAATATATAAATTTATCATAATATAATTACTTAAAATTAATTATTTAATTTAATTTTTAATACTATTTATATAAAGTATATATATAAAAACTTTTTAATATTATTGATAAAATTAATTAATTAAATTTTACTGACCATTATTATTGCTACCACTTTGACAATTAATTATTTTGGACAGTTGTGTAATATTTATAGTAAAAGCAATAATTATATTTAATTTCATAATTTTTTATTTAATAATTTATTAATATATATATATATATATTTATTTATATAAAAAGTTAGCACTTTGAATTTTTTAAATGCACTATATTAATTTATTATTACAAATATTTACATTATTATCTAATTTAATTTTATTATTATTCACAATATTGTGTGTGTTTTTAACAACATAATAGTGATTTTTTTAATAAATTTTATGTGTTATTTAATACACACACATATAATAAATTAGATGACAATAACAATAATAATAAACAAAATAATTAATTATAAAATTTTTATTTTATAGTTTAACAATTGAAATTCACTGGCATTAATTGTTTTAAACAATTCAATAGCATATAATATACAGTAAATATTTGATTAAAAATAATAAAATATTTTATTTTATTATAAACAATAATATACAGTATTATAATAAATAATATATTACTGTATAATGATATTCATATATATATATATATATTGTTTGTATAGTTATTTCCAAACGAAAGCACTGATGATAGCATAACACTTGTACTGTATATATATATATAATACTACAGTATATAATAATAAACACACAAAAAACTATTAGTATTTTAATATCATATTAATGAATAGCATTTTATTATCATATAATAATAATAATAATAAATCGTTGACATTAGAAAAACACTTGAAGTGTACAAACAAATAGCAGCAGTTTATATACAGTGTATATACAGTAATATTATAGACACTGATAATAAACATACAGAATATATGGAAAAAGAGAGTCTCAATGAATAACAACTTTTGTCACAATAAATGCAACGATAAAAAAAATCCTAGAAATATAAATAATAATTATAATACAGAATATTCTTTAGGGAAGTTTAGGCAACAAATCGACCGGTGCTTTGTGCACACAACTGGGTGTTTGTAACACTAGTATAGTATAGTATGTCAATGAGTGTGTGTGTGTGTGTGTGTGTGTGTGTGTGTCACACATATCAGTGAGGTATTAATAACATAGTAAAATAGTTAACAACAACACTAGACATACAGTTTTTGGATAAGTAGTAGTAGTAGTACTGAACCAGTAGTTTATTCAATGTCCGGCACATACAGTATTATCGTATAACAACAGTACAGACACTAAATAGTGTGTCGACTAATAAATGTGTTGTAATTAACAGTTAAAAGGAGGAAAAGTTAAAGTTTGTTGTGCGAGATGTGTTGAGAGCATCAAAACTACTAGTGCTGTAACTGTGCTAACGGTGCTCATGATTATGATGATTATGTGTATAACATTTTCACATTCACAAACATATATACATATATATAGACGATAGACAAAGGCTAAACAATAGGCCAAAAATTGTTAGGGTTGTGCTCTCTATATATATATACATATATACAATATATAAAGTAATACTGGTGTGTGTCGACTGTCCAAAACGATTGAATACTATAACTAACAGTTACTGTATGTATGTATGTATGTATGTGTRTGTGTGTGTGTGTGTGTGTGTGTGTGTTATACTGTATATGACTAACGCTTTGAATTGATTTTTTTTACATACAAAATACTGTATATAACTGTTTATATATATACTATACAATACAATACATTAACAATATATATATATGACTTATAAAGAAAATAGAAATATATATAATATAATATATATACAGTATTTATATATATATAATATAGATTGAGAGGAAAGGGATTCTGAATACTGTGAGACCCCAGAGCTTGCGCTTCAATATATATATATATATATAATTTACGATCTATAATATAACAAATTATATTTAACCTTAAATTTGTTATTATTTGTATTTTGTATTTATAATAAATTTGTTTTGTTTTTATACGTACACTAAAGGCTTACTGAACTAAAACTTTTAAAAGTCTAAAGTCTGCAATGAATAACACATTTTTTTAAATTAAAAATTTTTTGATACTGTATTTAAATTATATATTATTTAAATAAATTAAAATTATTTTATTAGCTATTTATTAATTTCTATAAACATAAATAAAGCATATAGTTTAATTAATAAAATTTCAAATATATATATAATAAAATTAATTTTTTAATATTTATATATAATATGTATTATTCTAACTATTAATAATTTAACTAATAGTATTATATATGTATATAAACAATGTTATGATTTTTTATATAATTTAAAATTATATTATAACAATATTTTCATTAAGACAAATATAATAATAAATAATTTATTTAAATTAATTATAAATTCGCTAGTTTTAAAATTTAGTTATAATATAGTTAATTTTAATTTACATTATTATTTTTATTATTTTTTTATTATTTAATATAAATTAAGTTATATTAAAGAGAGAGACTATAATTTACTATCCATTACTAAACTACAAATATAATATATATAATAGATTTTGTTAAAAAAATGTTACATTTTTTTTGGTCGACACATTTTTACCATTAAACACTATTATTTATAATTTTATATTGAAGTTATACTTAATAAATAGATAGACAGATTTATAAACTATATATATAGATTTATAGTATATATGTATAGTTTAATAATGTATTACTTATATTGTAGATATTATATAAAGCCATAATGTGTGGTTACTGAGAAAAAAAGAGACTAAAATAAAATAAAATGATTCATTCAGATAGTTAACGGTTAAGTATTTTTTTTGTGAATGCCATATACTGTAAATTTATATACAGTATAAACTATATATATATATATATATATATATATATATGTATACTACTGTATATATTGAATTTTTTGTTATATAATAATAGTGGCACTCAAATAAAAAATTTTGTCAAAAAAAAATTTTCGGACCATTAGCTCAAAATAAAAACTAACAAAAAAATGTTAATATAATATATCATTTCAGGTATTTATTTCATAGTTTTTTTTGTTGTTTTTGGCCATAACTGTGGTCACAAAATAATAGATAAATATTCAATAGACGTACATATTTAAATTTAATTTTATAAAATAACTATAATTAAATACATTAAACAATAAATTTGTTACCAATTTAGATTATTTTATTATATCATATTACAAATTGATCTATTAATTTCAATTTTTATTTTATAGATTTTTTGCAAAAAATAAATGATTGAAATATATAGTGTTTTTATATATACTATTTTGAAAAAAACAAAATAAAAAAAACATTTATTTATATCCTAAATAACTCATAAAATATTTATAGTTATGTCTATATATTGTTAAAATAAAATAGAAATATTTATTATAAAATTTTGTACTTAATATCAATTTTGTTTATATTATTATTATTATTATTATTATTATTATTATTATTATTATTATTATTATTATTATTATTATTATTATTATTATTATTATTATTATATATTTTATAAGTAAAACTATAGATTTATAAATAACTAATATGAATTTTTGTTTATATACAGTATTATTTGATGTTTTTTGGATATAAGCTTTCAATTAATATAAAACATTTTTATGACAAAAATATTGGAGACAATATGTTGTTATATATATCGTAATATATAATAATATATATGTTATACAATATATATATATATTAGAAATCCGGTCTCAATGTTAGATAAATATAACTAATTTTACCCAAAAAAAAATCCTGTAACTACTCTACTATTAATATCATATATATATATATATATATATATTTCTATGATTTTGATATCAATGTTATCATATGTTGAGTTGTTTGATGTGTGTGTTTGTTTGTCAACTAATAAAGTAAAAGAGCTGTTATTTATATTAATTTTTACATGAATGCTAGAAATATCATATATGTATAATTAAATTAACTAATTAAATATTATTAGCAATTTCAATAATATAATATAAAACTATTTTATATATATATATTAAAAATAGAAAATAATATTTTTATTTTTGTTAAATTTTTATTATTTTATAAAATTCTAGATATATATATTAGTTAATTAAGTAATTATTAGTGTAAATACTGTTTTTGATAATAAATAGTAAATATAATATTTATTTTATAATATCAAATCTTAAATGTTCAAATAGAAGTAATGTCAAAATTAATTAAATATTTTATTCATAAATTAAAGTATTTATTTAAATTATATAAATACAAATAATTTAAAAACAATAATAAATGACATTGTTGCTATAATTTTTTGAAAAATATTATGATCAATGATTTTATTAAATTAATTTAAATTCAAAAATTATTTATTAAAATTATTTCATAAAAAATATCATAATTCATATAATATTTAATATATTGTAACAAAACTATCTATAAAAAAATAATATATAATTTTACTCTTAATAAAACTAATTATTAATATCCAAATATTTAGTAGGATTTTCAATAAAATCTTCAATAATTTTCGGTAATTTTTCTAAACTATTATCCGATTGGATTCGTTGCGATATTTTCTGCAACTTATCGTTCAACTCGTTATCATTTAATATGCTATCAATGGCTGTCAACAGTTCCCGATCCGTACAGTTGTATGCATTCAGCCGACGTCCGTAACCCAACTCATCGACTCTCTGGCCGTTATCGTACTGATCGCCAAACAGTGGTAATACAATCACTGGTTTGCCGTAGAAAAACGTTTCGCTAATAGTATTGTTTCCGCCGTGAGTTATGACCAAATCGACTAACGGCAACACTTGTATCTGCGGTACCGATGACTGACCCCACATGTTATCCGGCAGATCGTACTCATAATGTTTGGGTCCTTTCGATACAATAAACCTGTGCTGAGATTTGGCTAATATAGCCACCAATCGTTTCATATTAATAACATCCACTGCACCCATAGATCCCAACGAAAAGTATATCAATTTTCCCGGTTTGTCCAGCAGTTGCTCCGGTAGTTCAAACTGCATGTGCTGATCATATCTCATCAGATTATCAAATCGGATATAGTTTTTAGGCAATGGTCTAACATCCAGATAGTCTAACTCTAGTGGATAGCCATAAATGTTCAGACAATTGGATGTATTAGCCAAACAATTGGTGTCCAGTGGCTGACAGCCCCGGCCAACGATATAGTTGTTAAACTCTTGCCATACATTATGTGCGGCATTATCTCTGACTTCCCGATACTCTCGCCATTGATTTTTATCGCCATAAGCTGATAGACCTTAAAGTTTAATATATATTTATTTAGAAATTAATTATTAATAGTTATTAGAATTATTATTTAAATAAAATTATTTTAGAGAAATCAGAATATAATTATTTATTTAATTTTTTTTAATTACAATTATAACTGTAGTTTAGTATTTTTCAATTTTTTTCAATAAATAATAATAATTATTAATATATATATTTGTTTTTTAATTTCAGTTAATTCATAAATAATTTATAAATTATGTAATAAAATAAAAATAAGTAAAAATTATTATAAACTATAGATAAATAGTTTATAATAGTATATTAAAAAAGGATAAAGACATGTGAAAAGCTATTTATATTTTTAATAAATAAAATTATTTGTAAAAATAAAAATTTATGAAAAATTTTACAGTTTTTTTAAACTAACATTAAAATATATATTTTTTTAAAACAAATAGACTCACATACCTGAGCCACACGGAGGCAACTGGCCGTCGTTGTCGATAATCTTTACCGGATTAGTACTCCACGACCAGACACACGGTATACCCGACCGGTCGACGGCCGGTATCTGTAGAAATTGGTCCAAAACTATCAGATCTGGCCTGAGCTCCGGTATGAGTCGTTCGAGCTGTTGGTCAACATGTATGGCCCGTTTCATCCACATTCGGACCTTAGGTCCCGTACGACTGGCCTTTTCCAGCGGCAATAGTCCGCTAATATTACCGACTTTTAGCAAACCTTCGGCATGACTCTGAAGACTGTCGCCCGACGGCAGACCACCAATGGATAACAGATTATTGTTGTCACTGTTATTACTAGTATTGTTATTAGGGTTGTCCTCATCGGTGTCGGTATCGGAAGAAACTACAATCTCTTCGATACCGTATGGCTTGAGTTTGCCGCACCAGTCCTGATGAACGGTAAACATTACCCGATGGCCGGCATCGATGAGCACCTGTGCGACACCGAGACAAGCGTTTACGTGACCCACACCCTGAATGGGTACGACCAGTATTTTTAGGCTTTTCCCCATATGGTATGTTATAACAAAATAAAATATTAATTATTATATTTTTATATTAAAAATCACTTTTTTATATAAAAAAAATAAGTTATTCAATAGTTTAGTATTAATTAATAGTATTGTTGTTATAAATATTTATTGAAAAATATATATAATATTTTATTATTATCATTTTATTTTTTGCAATTAATGTCTTTCAAAAAAAAAATAAATTTAAAATTGAAATATTTGAAATAATTATTATTCACTTATACAGTTTTTTTTAAAAAAAATAATATTAATATTACATGTTTTTTAATTAACTATTGTTTTTGTAATTATTAGATAAATATTTATTAAATGTCAAAATGACGTAAAATATTTAATATATATATCGTTTATAATACATAAAATTGAAACATTATCAAGGTTATCAATAAAATATACAATTTATTCACTAAAACTAGTTTATACTGTACATACAGTAGTTTTAATACAGTATAAACTAATTTATAATCTAAAAAATTAGATTAAAAAAATTATTTATAATAATATATTTTGTTTAATATTTGTTTATTAGACTCACTGTTTATTTTATAATATAATAAAAAAAATTAGAATAAAGTAAAGTCTAAAATTAAATATTATAAATAATAGATAAGACTTTATTAAAAAAAAGTTAAAATATTTTTTTTGTTAAATAATTTTATACTTATATGTCTGATAATTATTAAATAATAACATCAATTTTTAAAAAATCTAGAAATTAATAAAGTTAAATTCATAATAATATTAGTAATATTATAAAAGTTAAAAAAATATTCACATTTAAAAATAGTAAAAATAGTTAATTTTAATTATTTTTATCCAAATGACATTAATAAATATATAAAAATATTTCTAATAAAATTTTATTTAAATTTAACTAAAAATCAAAATTAACTGTATGTTAATGTATGTAATATTATTTATTAAAAATGCATATAAGACTGTAAATGTTAATAATAATTAATTTAATAATTAAATAAAGTTATCAGTCAGCTATAAATTAGTTTATGCTTATGAAATGTTTTAATAATTTTTAATAATATATAAAAATAATTTTATAATTGTATAACTTAATTAATTGTGCAATAAATACTTTTATTTTTTAACATTACAATAAACTTTTAAATATATATATATATATATAATTTAGATAAATATTAATCAATTTTATTTTGTTTTATAAAAAAAAGATAATTGAAACAATTTTTTTATAAGTTATAATAATATTTATTTTAAATTTATCATTATAAAATAATCAATTGTCTTTTACAATTGAATATAATAAATAATATTTTATCCATAAGTTATTTATATTATAATTAACATTTAAATTACGTAATAGTTTTTTTAGTTACAAACATATTAAATATATTTTTTTTGAATTTTCAACTTTGAAATAATTATTAACAATACTCTGAACAATAATTGCCAAAAAATAAATATACAAAACATTTATACACATTATAACAGTTATCAATAATAAGTAGATAATATATAAATTAAAAAATATCTTATACAATATAATAGTAATAATTTGATTAAATTATTATTATAATAATATTTTAATCATCAATGGCATCAAAATATTTTTATACAAAAATATTTTATCAATTATAAGTTGCACAATAAAAAAACAAAATAAAAAATAAACATATTACTGTAGTCAAACCACATAATTTTTTTAAGTTTATGATTTTTTTCAAAAATAATAATAATTATAATTTAATTAATAAATATTTTATAATATTAATTACTTTATATAATAATTAGCAAATATATGAATATATTAATATATATTCAATATAAATATTTATATTTAAAGTCAATAATTAAATTATTATTTTTTTGGGGGGAGGGGTATGAAAAATAATAGGCAATTATATTGATTGTCAAACATATATAAATTGATAATTAAAGGACAGTTAGATTAAAGCCATTTTAAGAGTCCATGAGAAATAAAGTCATCAAATAAAGACTAGAAACTAGTGAGTATATGATTGGGGGGGGGGGGGTTGGATGGGGCCCCCTGAGTAGGGGGCAGTTAAGTAAGTAATTAGCTGGTGTATGGAGATAAATAGCATAACCACACACACACACGCGCGCGCCGGGCCTCTTAAGTGAGCGCCTGTCGCACGCGATCGACACACAGGTCGGACCCGCGCCGGCTTTCGGCGGACACTGAAACAAAATTTAGAAAACCGTGCGGCAAGTCATCCAATACGTCCAGATTGATGGCACCTAACGATTATTAGAGGAATAAAAATAAGAGGAACAGTAGGTTATTAAACAAAAATTCAATATACAGTGTCATATACTGTATAGGTATTTAAAATATTCGTTCTCTAGACATACCTTTCCATTTTTTGGCCATTTGGACGCTGTCGTCGAGACAGGCATCGTAGGCCAGTGCTACCAAATAGAGTGCAACATCGGTAAAGTCGGGTTCGGCCAACAGTGGCGATACAAACGGATTTTCAGTGGCAGCATTCAGACGAGTCAATTTGTTCAACACTTGAGGTCTAGGTTGGCGATACCAGGGTCGCGGTGAACTGGTCGCAACGTTATCAGGACCGCGCACGTGCCGAAAGGTACGGCGCATACGTGACCACGGCGTCGAGCGTGGCGGCCAATCGTGTGGCAGTTTTGTGTGGTCGCTGTCCAGCGGCGGTACATCATCGACCGTTACAAACTCAAACTCGTCTTCGTCGTCGTCATTGACTGTCGACGGGTTGTTGTTGTTCTGGCCATTGATATCGGGTGCGTAAGCTTCAAGACAGGCCAACAGTACGCCCAATGGTAACAGTGTGTCCACTGCTGTGAACAGTCGTGACGGTGAGGCCCGTGTTTGCAACAGCAGCGGCGTATAGAAACAGACAATACCGCGCGGCCGGACAATATGGGCGTCCTGTTTCCATGCGTCGTGAATGGCCAGACAGGTCGCCAACGATAGGTTACCGCCGGCCGAATCGCCACATATGACTACACGACGTGGTTTGATACCCAGTTCGGCAACCGCCGCATCGGTAGATGTTAGCCACAGGTAAACGTCGAGCAACTGTTGCAATGCTATCGGGTATTTGGCTTCGGGCGACAGTGTGTAGTCGACTGACAGTATGGGAACGGGTGCTAACTGTACGGCCCATTGGCGTAGATATACTTCATGAGAATCGGGTGTCTGCGACACGAAACCGCCGCCGTGTATGTGTAGTACAAGTGCATCGCCTGACGGCTGTTCCGAACCGCACAGTAGTCGGCATCGTATGAGTGGTCGTCGGTTGGCGTGTGATGTGCTGTCGGCGTCGTCGTCATCATTACGTAAAACACAGGCCTCGACTGGCGATACTGACCACCGAGTTTGTGGCGGGACATAGACTTCACGAGCTAGCGGTGGTGTTTTGGCCAACAATGGCAGCGCTGATCGGGCTAACGGTGTTTCGGTGAGACCCCAAAAACCTTTAACAAACTTTTTTTTGACATATATTGTGAGTGAGTCAACTAGTCTATGGAAATCACGCGCAAAACGCGTGTTAAATATAATGTCTGTTACTATTACTAACCTCTACCGTAGCGTTTTGTGCAATATGTGCGACCGCTTGTGCCCGCATACGACTGTCCACCAGCAATCGGGCAGCCAATCGGGGATCACCAGCCGCTACAATGGCCATCAATGCTGTAAAACCATTCAGCGCTCGTTTCATGGATGCGCACAACCAAAAGTTAGCGTAAGCATCGTAGACGACGTCCAACTGGGGCCGCATTTCGGCAAATACGTCCAACAAATAGGGAAAGTCGTCGGCCGACGATCCAAACAGGTTGTCATCGGATGTCCCGCGGAATCGTTTACAAAGACCAAGACCTGTACGCAAGACAATGGCCACTGGCAGCAAATGTGTCGACATTAGCCGCAAGTCGCGGGTCTCATGAGTGACCTGAAGAAAACGTAGAACCAGTCGAACGTACGATCGAAAACCGTTGGCCTCGACATCGCGAAAGTCATATTCGTGAACATAGGTCAGCACCTCATCGGTTCCCTGTCGTAGTTCGTGTAATACTGTGGCCAATTCGGGACAATCGACTGCAAGACGAGTATCGAGTGTATCGAACAGTGTGTCCAACTGTTCCGGCAGTCGGGTATCAGTGGTCAGCTCTAGCATACTGTCTTCAGTTGTAGTTATTATGGGCTCAGGTGTTGGCGAGGCTAATGATGATGATATGTCCACCACTGGTGGCAATTGGCAGCTGCTTATGATAGTAGTGGGTGTGTATATATACGGGTGACGGTTGTTACGCTGAGGTAGCTTTTGTCTGAGTGTTGGTATCGGTCGATGACCAGTAGTAGAGGTGCACTGGTGGTGGTGGTGGCGGCGGCTTAACAAACGTTTGGCACAATTATATGATGATAATAGCATACAATTTTTATAATTGTTTTTTTTATTATTATTTAAAATGAAATAATTATATTATATTATAAAATTTATTTTTTTAACATTAATTAATAACATTATATCATTATTTTTTTGAAAAAAATGATAATTATATAAATATAATTAGCATATAATGATATATTATATTATTTTATTGGGAAATATTATTTAGTTGCACTATTTTAGTTGGTTTAGTTATACACACAATGTGTATAATAAGTTATAGTTTTATAAGTATTTTTGAGGACATATTTTTTTCCCTGAATATTATTTTTTTTAATATAAATTATTTCAAATGTAATTGTAATAATAATAATAATACAAATGTGCAAATCAATAAATAAACAAATAATAATAATAATAATACTGTAATACTAAATGATAATAAAGATCCTGTTTGTAAATATTATATACTAGCGCAGTTGCAATAATATATATAATAATAATATTATCACAAAAATAAAATAATTTTTATATACAATGTGCGACATAAATGACGCACAAAAACAACATAAAACTGTAATAAAGTTTTCAATAGACTAAACACAGTGTACTGTATATATAAAATTAATTTTTAATATATTAAATAATTTTTGTTGTTGAATGTGTCATTGAGATATTATTTAGAAAATATTTGGTAGATTTTTATTTGTTGAATTAATTATATTTTATATTATTATTATTAATAATATTTTTTTTGCTGCTATATTTAGTTTTTTTCCTTTAAAAAAAATAATTATTCATAATAATAATAATAATAATTTTATTTCAATAACAAAAAACCTTGTAACTAAAAAAAATAAAAATAAATAATGTTGAAAAAAATTAAATGCTAAAGTTATCTATTAGTAAATGTATGTTATCTTTATTTTACTAATTAGATAAAAAAAAAGTTATCAAATGTTTTCAATCATATGATCTAAAATTAAGAAAAATAAATAAATAATGCAATGTATGTGTGTGTATGTGTTAACAAATATATAGTAACTGTTTTGGAAAATTTCTACACATTTACATTAATTTTGTTTAAATATGTTACATTTTTTTGAAATTATATAAAATTAATAAATATTAATTAAAACATATTTTTATAATTTTTTTTAAATACTAATAATAATATATTTTTCAATAATAATTACAATTAATGTTTGTTTACAAGTTAAATGACATGTCACACAACTACTTGCAATAATAGTAAGTAAACTATATATTAAAAATTATATTGTATTTTAATTATATTTCTAAAATAAATACACAAACAATTATTATATGTTTTTCTAATATGTTTTTTTTGTTTGTAAATTAAAACAACAATATTTAAAAAAATAAATAAATATTCTAATAATTATTTAAAAATTAATAATAAATATTTTTTAAAAACTTTTTTTTAATAAAAACTAACGAAAAATATATTTATCACTATTTTATTTTTTAATTTTTTCTAAATTTTTAATTGCCTTTATATACACGTTTGTAGGCAAATATTGCGACAACAATTATTAAGATAATAGTACATAAAACAAATAGAAAAGTAAACCAGGCAGGTTTTCTACATAAAACATTATTGTATGGAAATTTATTGCATCGACCTTGTTGAATTTTGCCAATCAAATCGGTTTTCAGCATGCTAAATTTTTCAGTAGAATTTTGATCTTTTTTTTTGAATAATAAAATTAATTAATTAACTTAATTGATATAATTATTATTGAAAAAAATTTCATTGTTGTTATTGTTATATAAATACCACATAATTCGTTGACAAACTTGTGCTGTACGTCCAGTACTTCCCAATAGTAACAGCACTGGTATTTATTTTGGGCCAATACTTCCTGAGTAGTCCAGTCCAGTGATAGACTTGTGTAAATATCATTATAGTCGGTACTGTTGGCCAGTCCACTGATACAATGGTCAGATAGACCAACATTAACAAGTATTTTTGTAAAATTCATAGCCGCCGGGTACTTATGATGACCACCACCACCACCACCACCATCACCACCACTGGTGCTAACAATAATAAAACAAAATGTAAATAATACAAACATGTATATGACTGACCATAATATTAATTTATACATAATTTACAAATATAAATATTATTATATATACAAATATATGAGATTCACAATGAAAAAAAACTAATACAAAAAAATAAAATTATTTTATTATACAGTGTATAACGTAATATCTTTAAAATAAATAAATAAATATATTTTAATATTATCGATAAAAAATATGGTTAACGGAAAAAACCCATGAAAGGCATTAATAATAATAATAATAATTAAGTTGTTTATTTTGCCACTGTTTAAATATGTAGTCAATTTTATACAGTAATGTTTAAAATAAATTGATACAAATACATAATAATTATAATATACCGGTATTTTAAACTACATATACATTAATAATAGTATAATATAAAGTACATGTAAATTATAATATGATAATAAAAATTTAATAACAAGTTATTGCATTTCAAATAAGCAGTTTACAATATTTTTAAATATAAGTCATCAAATAAAATGAAAAGTTTTTTTTTTAAAAAAATAAATATTATTTATTGAAATTTTTAAATAGAAATTCCTCTCTATATTTCTTTTAATAGAGAAATAAAAAAATTTCAATAATTATATTTTGATTCCTATAAAAATAATTACTTTTTAAATATTATTTTTAAATATTATTTATTTTTCTAGTTATTGTTTATGTTGAATAAATAATAATTATTTTTAAAAAATATTAATAAATAAATCCGATTGTATTTGTTGTGATATTTTCAGCAATTTTTCATTCAACTCGTTATGTCATTCAAAATAGCATTTCAATTTTTTTTAATAATTTTAGTTATAATAAGTTTAATATATAGTTCAATATATACAGTATATATCAAATTTATCTATTGATAAATAATAATTATCACAATAATACACATTTTGTGCTAAAAAAATTATAATAAATCAATAACAATATTAACATATGCATAAGTGCTATTTTGTTAAATTAATATATCCAATATAAATACATTGTATAAATTTATATATATAGACTAATATATCATAAGTATTATAAATATGTGATACAAATAAAGATAAAAAAAATTGCACTTAAGTATTTAAAAACTATATTACTTATTAAATAAATCAAATATATAAATTTATCAGTTATTACTTATTTTGTATTGTACTTAATAACACCAGGTGCTTAATGTTAGAGTTAATGTATAATTAAATAAAACTAGAAAATTATTTTTAAAAGATAACATATACAAAAAAAATCTATTTAACAATATATAAGTTAAATTAAAAATACAATGTAAAAGTATTTGAAATATTTTAAAAATTTTATTATTTAAATAAATAATTATAAATTCTAGTATTTCTAATTTTTAAAATAAAAACTCATATTATATTTTCATAAAAACATTAATCATAAAAAATAATAGTTAGTAATTATTATAATTATTGTAAATAAATTGATGTATCATTCAAATAGTTATCAATAATTTGCGGTAATTTATGTAAACTATTATCCGATTGTATTCGTTGTGATATTTTTTGCAATTTTATGTTCAACTCGTTGTCATTCAATAGCTTTTCAATGGCAGTCAACAGTTCCTCATCCGTACACTTATAAGCATTCAAACGGATACCGAAACCCTTGTCCTCCACTCTCTGTGCGTTATCGAACTGATCGGCAAACAGTGGTAACACAATCATAGGTTTACCGTAACTAAACGTTTCGGTAATAGTATTGTTTCCGCCGTGAGTTATGACCAAATCGACTAATGGCAACACCGATATCTGAGGTACCGATGACTGTCCCCACATGTTATCCGGCAGATCGTATTCGTCATGTTTGGGTCCTTTCGATACAATAAATCTATGCCTAGATTTAGCTAATATAGTGCACAAACGTTTCATATTTTCCACATTCACGGCACCCATAGATCCCAACGAAAAATATATAAGTTTTCCCGGTTTGTCCCTTAATTGCTCTGGTATTTCAAATTTTTCACTATTGATGATTTCACGTCGCATAAGATTATCAAACTGTATGTAATTTTTACGCAACGGTACGACATCCGTATAGTCCAACTCTTTTGGAAAACCATAAATTGTTGGCCACTTGTGTTGTGTAGTAAAACTATGATCCCTGAGCAGCGGTGGTGGACATGATCTCGATATAATGTAGTCTTTCCATACTTGCCATCGATCTTCAATTATCTTATATTTAATATCTCTGAATTCAAACCATTGATCTCTATTGCTATTACATGAATATCCTTTTAAAATATAAGTAACAAAAAAGAAACAAATGTTTTAGTAAATTGCTATTAAAAAAAAGTTTAAAATGTAATTTTAAAAACAAAAATATATTAAATACATCATATCAATCATATACTATAATTTATTTATAATCTACTTTTTAATATAAAATTTTTAATATAGATATATATATATTTTTTTGTTGTAAAAAATTAATACCTGATTGAGAGGGCGGTAGTCTATCGTCATTATTGATAAACAATGGACTGGCACTCCATATCCATACCAATGGTATACCAGACAACTCTGCTGATGGCAAACAATAAAACTGATCCAATAGTATGACATCGGGTTTAATATCTTGGATAATAGTTTCCAATTGAATGTCCAATTTTTTAGTCAACTCTAATCTTCTCATTGTTGACGTATCTTTGTTTTTAATCATTTCCAGTGTCGACATATCTTCTAACAAACCGCTATCCAATAGTTTATCGGCAATATATTTGGCCGGATCTACAACTATATTATGATTATCTGGTGGTTTGTCCTCTTTGATGATCACTTCCTCGAAACCATACTCCTGTAGTCTACCTTTCCATAGTTCACTGACGGCAAACACTACCCGATAGTGTCCACTATCTTGTAGTTGCTGTCCAACTGCTACACTGGCGTTAATGTGACCGACACCGGCCATCACCGAAAATAATGCCGTTTTTTGTTTAGTCATTTGATTTAATAATATTTTTTTTGCTATAACTTTAATAAAACTAAGTTTTACTGTTATTTTATTTTTGTTACACTAACTAAACTATAATTTAAATGTTTATATATTATGATATATTATTTAGTATAAAACTTAAACATATAGATAGTGTGATCAACCAATAGAGTACATTGAATATGTGTGAAAAAGTGGGGGAAAAAACATTTTAATAAATATAATGCTATTCAAATAATTGCACAATAATATTGAAATATAAATTTTCTATAGTTGCCAACAACAATAAATATAAAAAATAAGGAAAATTGTTATATAATATTCTTGTGTTTTTTGATGTTTTAATTGTTTTAATTTAATTTATATGAATTTATATATTTAATATTTTGTAATTTTTTATATTAAAATAAATTGTAAAAAGTAAAAAAAATTGTGTTATTTAAATAAATTATTTTTTGTATACTCTAAATATAATATATTGAACAGTATACAGTATTAATAAAAACAACCGATATTAAAACTAAATTAAATGATAATATTTTTTTGAAAATGATTAATTTAATAATTATAGATAAGTAAAAAAAATAAAATATAAATTTATATAAAATATCATTTACGCTTATATAATATAATATATATTATAATATGTGTACTTATCTCTAATATCATATAAATATAAATATAACATTATACTATTGTATATATTAGTGAATAGTTAGGTTATTAGTATAAACATTATAAAGTAAAAACTGTAAAAATAATTTACTTAATAATATAATGTTTTATTTAAAAAATAAATTAAAGTAATATAAGATATGTAGAACAATCCCTAAATTAATTTTTAAACTTTTGTTTAATATTAACAGATTGTATGATAAAAATTTTAAAAAAATATTAAAATATAGTCATATAAAATATATTTAATAATAAATAATTGAATTATAAGTAATTTATAATCAAAAAAATGTTTTTATAAATAAATTGACGGATCTTTCAAATAGTTATCAATAATTTGTGGTAATGTTTGTAAACTATCCTCAGATTGTATTCGTTGTGATATTTTCTGCAACTTTTCATTCAACTCGTTGTCATTCAATAGCTTTTCAATAGCAGTCAACAGTTCCTCATCCGTACACTTATAGGCATTCAAACGGATACCGAAACCCTTGTCCTCAACTCTCTGTGCGTTTTCGAACTGATCGGCAAACAGTGGTAACACAATCATAGGTTTGCCGTAACTAAACGTTTCGGCAGTAGTATTGTTTCCGCCGTGAGTTATGACCAAATCGACTAACGGCAACACCGATATCTGCGGTACCGTTGACTGACCCCACATATTATCGGGCAGTTCGTACTCTTCATATCTAAATCCTTTCGATACAATAAATCTGTGCCGAGATTTTGCTAATATAGCGACTAATCGTTTCATATTATCGACATTAACGGCGCCCATAGATCCAAACGAAAAGTATATGAGTTTTCCCGGTTTATCTCTTAATTGCTCTGGTATTTCAAATTTGTCAACATTTACTTCACGGCGCATAAGATTATCAAACTGTATGTAATTTTTACGTAACGGCACGATATCAGTATAGTCCAGCTCTTTCGGAAAACCATATATTGTCGGCCACTTGTATTGTGTGATAAACTCGTTATCCCTGAGCGGCGGACAGCCTCTCGATATGATGTAATCATTCCATTCTTTCCATTTATCATTGATTATATTGTATCTAATTTTTCTGAATTCAATCCATTGTTTTTTATCACTATTACATGAATATCCTTTATATACATATATATATACACAAAAAATTCAATATTAATTATTTATAAAAAAAAAATTTTAATTCGGGTTATATCTAAAAAATATTATAATATACCTGAACTGGCAGGTTGTAGTCTATGGTCATCATCATTAAGAAACAATGGACTGGCACTCCATATCCATACCAATGGTATACCAGACAACTCCGCTGATGGCAAACAAAAAAACTGATCCATTAGTATGATATCGGGTTTGATATCTTGGATAACTGTTTCCAATTGTTGGTCTAACTGTTTAATTGCTTCCAATCTATTCAATATATTAGTTTCTGATGTAATCATCATATCCAGTGGCGACTTGTCCTCAAACAAACCCAACTCTAACAGTTTGGCCGCACGTTTGGTCGGATCCGTACCTTTAGTATCATTGGGTTTGTCAGCCGCCTCTCCGATGATTACCTCCTCGAAACCATACACCTGTAGTTTATCTTTCCATAGATCGTGAAAATTTATGACAAATACAACCCGATAGTGTCCACTGTCCAGTAGTCTCTGTCCAATCGCTATACTGGCGTTCATATGGCCGACACCGGCTATCACCGAAAATAATGCTGTTTTTCGTGTTTTATTCATCTAAAAAACTATTAAATTATTATTAATTTTTTTTATAATTTAATTTCTCAATCAATCAATGTTTTCAAATAAACTGTACTTCAAAATATATTTAAAAAATTGCACTTAAAATATTTTCAATGGTAGTTATTAATAAAAATCCTAAAATAAACTGAAAATACAGTTGAATCACATTAATGTTTTATCAGCTTTTATTATATAAATATATTTTCAAAAAAAACAAAAAAATATATATAAAACAACATAGTTATAAATTTTTAATATAAATATGATATAAAACTTAAAATAACTAATAATAATAATTCAGTAATAATTTAGTAATTTGAGTGAATTTTATCTATAAAAAGATTGAATTAATACTATAGTAAATAAAGCTGTAGATTATATTATAAGGTTTATAAATAAAAATGATAAAAAGTTTAATATTATTATTGATTATAAAATTATGAAAATATTAATAATGTATAATGCTAGTTATAAGTTTTGTTTATTTTTATAAATCATATTAAAAATAGACTATAATATCTTTAATTGAGTTATAATACAATTTAATGCAACTTATCAAAAAAAAAATCTACTAAAATAAAGTATTTATTATAAACATTATAAAATAGATTGTGAATTGAAATTATTAATTAATAAATAATGTTAAAAATTATATTATTCTTGACTAAAATGTTCTTTAATTCAATTAAAAATCCACATTTATAACAGCGTATATAAAAATATTATCAATTAAAATAACTGTATATATTGTATAATGTTTTTAAATATCAGTAGCAATAAGATTAAGTAAAAATTATTATAAATAAATTGACGGATCTTTCAAATAGTTATCAATAATTTGTGGAAATTTGTCTAAACTATTATCCGATTGGATTCGTTGTGATATTTTCTGCAACTTTTCATTCAACTCGTTGTCATTCAATAGCTTTTCAATGGCAGTCAACAGTTCCTCATCCGTACACTTATAGGCATTCAAACGGATACCTAAACCCAGATCCTGAACTCTCTGTGCGTTATCGAACTGATCGGCAAACAGTGGTAACACAATCATAGGTTTTCCGTAATTAAACGTTTCGGTAGTCGTATTGTTTCCGCCGTGAGTTATGACCAAATCGACTAACGGCAACACTGATACCTGTGGCACTGTTGACTGACCCCACATGTTGTCCGGCAGTTCGTACTCATCACCTAACGGTCCTTTCGATACAATAAATCTATGCATTGATTTAGCTAATATAGCGACTAATCGTTTCATATTATCGACATTAACGGCGCCCATAGATCCCAACGAAAAGTATATGAGTTTTCCCGGTTTGTCTCGCAATTGCTCTGGTATTTCAAATTTTTCAATATTTACTTCACGGCGCATAAGATTATCAAACGGTATGTAATTTTTACGTAACGGCACGATATCAGTATAGTCCAGCTCTTTCGGAAAACCATATATTGTCGGCCATTTGTGTTGTGTGGTTAAGTCGTGATCCCTGAGCAATGGTAGACAACCTCTCGATATGATGTAATCATTCCATTCTTTCCATTTTTCTTCAATCAAATTATATTTAATTTTTCTAAACTCTTGCCATAGTTTTTCATCACTAGTACATGAATAACCTTTTAAATAAGTTACAAAAAAAATGTTTTACTAAATTAAAAACAAAAATTATTATCAAATATACAAATACAGTTAGCTTATAATTTACTGTATGTAATGTAAAATATGTAAAATAGATATATATATATATACTTTTTGTTGTAAAAAATTAATTACCTGATTGAGAGGGCGGTAGTCTATCGTCATCATTGATAAACAATGGACCGGCACTCCATATCCATACCAATGGTATACCAGACAACTCGGCTGATGGCAAACAATAAAACTGATCCAATAGTATGACATCGGGTTTGATATCTTGGATAACTGTTTCCAATTGTTTGTCTAAATGTTTAACCGGATCTAATTTATTCAATATTTTTGTTTCTACTGTTATCAACACTTCCACCGGTGACTTGTCCTCAAACAAACCCGTGTCCAAGAGTCTACTGGCAAAATGTTTGGCCGGATTACTATTTTTTTTATTATTATCGTCATCATCACTATCATCGGGTTTGTCAACCTCTGCAATGATCTCCTCGAAGCCATACACCAGTAGTTTACCTTTCCATTGCTCGTTGACGGCAAACACTACCCGATAGTTGCCGCTGTCCAGTAGCCGCTGTCCCAGTGCTATACAGGCATTGACATGACCGACACCGGCCAACACCGAAAATAATGCTGTTTTCTGGGTTTTATTCATTAATAAAAAAGACTATTATATTAATTAATTTTTTCTAAATAAATTAAATAACTTTTTTTAAAAAAAAACAATAGTTTAATTTCTCAATTACAAAATTTATTTATATTTATATGTTTTCAAACAAACTGCACTTAAAATATTTTGAATGAAAAATATTAAAAATTTATTTTTAAAAAACTACTATAATAAATTACATTATATTAACATTTACATTTAAATCACATTGATTTTGTTATTTTAGTACATTTTATACAAAAATTAAACTTAAGTTAATATTATATCATTAATTGATTAGAGTCTATGAATTATTTTTTATACTACTGTATAGTTACTAATGAAGTGCATTTATAATGTTTTAATTAATTATTATTATTAATAATATCAAAATTATATAGTAAAGTAAGTACAGTTTTTTTTATCTTAATAACATATATTTTGTGCTAAATATGTTATATAATAATCACAGATCAACTGTATATATAAGTACAGTTTGATATACATATAAGATTATTATTGTATATGAGGACAATATGTCATACTGTATGTGTTTGTGATTATGTGTTTATTTTGTTGTAAATTATAAATAACTGATAATTACTAAAAAAAATATTAATAAATTAATAATTAAATGTTATTAACTTATAATTGTTTATATTAATTTATATTCAATATCATACAATACTTAAATAAATGTAAATGTCTAATAAATAATTAATTTTTATTTTTGTTGTTGCTAATTTATAATTAAATATTTTTAAAAATTTATAAAATAAAAAGACTAATATTTATTTGAAATATTGAATTTTTATTTATACGCAATAATATTGTTTTATTTATTTAATAATTATTTTTAACTCTATATATATTCAAATAAGTATTACTAAATCAATTCTATTAAAATTAAAATATATAAAATAAAAATTATTTAGACAAACAATAATTATTGTAAATAAATTGACGGATCTTTCAAATAGTTATCAAGAATTTGTGGAAATTTTTCTAAACTATTATCCGATTGTATTCGTTGTGATATTTTCTGCAACTTTTCGATCAACTCGTTGTCATTCAATAGCTTTTCAATGGCAGTCAACAGTTCCTCATCCGTACACTTATATGTATCCAAACGGATACCGAAACCCTTGTCCTGAAGTCTCTGTGCGTTATCGAACTGATCGGCAGCCAGTGGTAACACAATCATAGGTTTACCGAAACTAAACGTTTCGGTAGTCGTATTATTTCCGCCGTGAGTTATGACCAAATCGACTAATGGCAACACTTGTATCTGTGGTACCGATGACTGTCCCCACATGTTATCGGGCAGATCGTACTCGTCATGTTTGGGTCCTTTCGATACAATAAACCTGTGTCGGGATTTAGCTAATATAGTGCACAAACGTTTCATATTTTCCACATTCACGGCACCCATAGAACCCAATGAAAAGTATATAAGTTTTCCCGGTTTATCTCTCAATTGCTCAGGTATTTATATATGCCAAAACTAGACAAACCTAAATCATTGTTATATATATATAAAAATAAAAGTATTTATTATTTATAATTGAATTAATATTTTTTTTTTGAAAACTAATAATAATTTGTGTCACTGATTGTTATATACAGTACAACAGTATTTTTCTCCGTATTACTATTAGGATTAATTGATGGATGATTGACACAAACATAGACATGTCTACCTGATCCAGCTGGAGGTCGTCTATGATCGTCATCGAAAAACATGGGTATACCACTGAATACCTAAACCACTGGTACACCAGACAGCTCTACTGATGGCACACAACAAAAATGTTCGTATAGTATGACATCCGGTTTGACATCCCTGATCACTGGATCCATAAGTCTCTAATTTCTTATACATCCAAACTTTATCAATCATTTTTATCTCCCGTTTCAACATTTCCAACGGTGTCTGATCGGTAAACAAACCGCTTTCCAGTGCTTTGTTAGCAAAATATTTTGCCGGATCCGTGTCCTTAGTTTTGTCATTGTTTTCAATAGTCATTATTATTTCTTCAATGATTATCTCTTCGAAACCCTGAGCCACGAGCTTACCTTTCCATAGCTCACTGATGGCAAACACTACCCGATAGTGGCCACTGGCCATTAGCCGCTGACCAACAGCTATACTGGCATTTATGTGACCGACACCGGCCAACACACAAAACAATGCTGTTTTTTGTTTAGACATTATATTAATTATTATTAGTAGTAAAAATTAATTAACTAATTAAATAAAAAATAAAACAATTAGTGTTTGATTTTATAAAAAATGTTTGATATTTTTTTTTGTAAAAATAAAATTTATTTATAATTTATTTCTATAAATTCAGTCTCTTTATATACTGTACTATTTAATTGTCATATAATTGAAGTACACATTTAGTTATTTTATTTTTGCCATAATAATAATTATTATATATAACAATATTTTTTTATTGTTATCTCAATAATACATACAGTATTTTGTGCTAAATATGATATATATTATAATCTAAAAATGTTAGTACATTTTGATAATAAGGTATATTATACAGTATATGGGGACAGTATGACAATATTTTGTATACTATCTCCTGTACAATATATGTGATTATGTAATTAGTTTTTATATTTTCTAAATAAATGATAAATTTCAAAAAAATATATAACATATAATATATACAATGCTATAAAAGTATAAATAAATTTAAAATTTGAATATAATTAATTATAATTAGTATAAAAATAAATAGAATACAATTTTTTTATTTATTATAATTTATTAAAATGAATATTATTAAAAAAAATATTTAATTTCAAAATTAAGAAAAAATTAAAATATTCAAAATTCAAGTATTCAAATATTTAATTTTAAATTATTAATTAATATTATTTTTTATTATTTTTATTATAAAATTTATTTTAAATTTTTTTGGTATTTGAATGTCTATTTATAAAATGAAAAAATATATTTTTTTGAAAAACATTATTCATAAAAAATATCTTAGTTTTATCTAATATTCTATTTAATTAAATAAAATAACTTAATTTTAAATATATATATATATATATATATATATATATATATAAATAACTAAATTTTCATTTAGTAAAACAAATATTTTTTTATTAAAACTATTTAGAAATTAATATTAATTTTTAATTCTATGTATTAAAAATAAAAATACTTACTATTTGAATATTTACATAAATTTTCTTAATTAGAATTTTATTTTAAAAATTATATTTATTTAAAATTTTTAAAAAAATCTATTAAAATATTTTAGTTCATTTAATAATTTTTTAATAGTTTTAACTTTGAACTCAAATAAGAAACTAAACATGAATTTATTGAAAATAATTTTCACATTAATTAAACGTTTACTAACATTGATTCCCGATTTAATAATACTATTGATTAGATTTATTGCATCAATATTTATGGCATATTATACAATACTATACACAAAACTATTGCTAATCGGATCGGATTTGCATAAACTATTTAGGAATGGATTTGAAAAATTCATCCAGATCAATTACATAACTGTTTTTGAATCAATTGACCAACAATTAGACTACTGTCTGGGTAATAGCCTAACTGGCCTGAATCAAACACGTATCTGTATAGCCGTGGCCCTGAAACTGGTTGTTGCCGTTAGTATAGCTAGATTTGTGGCCATCAGTTTTGTCGACGGCAATAACCAACCGGTGCTGACACTGCTGATGGATTTTACACATTTTATTGACCAGACAAACCTATTGGCAATTATTTTTGCAATTTATTTGGGATTTATTTTCCTAGTAATTGCCAACATGTTGTACTATGATTTGAATCGTTGTCAAACAGTATCGTTACGTTTTTGGCAACTATGCTCAATGATCAAATTGGGCACCTATAGATATCCGTTAGTTGGTTGGCGCAATCTATATGTTAGCTATTTTGATCTGTATATTATGATAATCTATTGGGTTCATTATTTTTATACTATTGTATTTACTGGTTTACATTTATGGTTATCACGGTCTATTATTCAATTAGCAAATCAATTAGGTGATTACTATAATAATCAATTAGCACTGGCAGTAATATTTTGGTCGATAATTGTTGCCCTGAGCGTCTGGCATATATTGGCACTGGGCATCTATATAGTATATATAATTTTGATAACCGGTGGCTTTATTGTATTGAAATTGATTGAATGCAATAGCAAACTTCATAAGGCATTTACATTGAAAAATAATTTATTTATTATTAGTCTACTAATGAAATCCATACGCGAGCACCAGTATCTATCCAATACGGTTACAGTTATCAATAGTTATCTGGGTATACTAGTTCTATTGCTTATGTATCTATTTTTCAATCAGGTTATCATATGTTTCTATAGAGTTCTAAATTATCCGGCTAGTCCACTGTATCGTAATCTATTAGTTGCCTGGATACTATTAAATATTATTATAGGTCTATTTGGTGTTTGGATAGTAACCGCCAGTGGTAAACTGGCTCATCGGCCATTGAAACCAATGTACGGTTATATAGCCAGACGTCAGCCAGTTATGGCGCTCAGGGATCGACTAATTATCAATGGATTTATCGATCATCTAACCGGTCGACCCATTGGTATATATTGTGCTAATTTATATACAATTAATTCGTTGGCAGTTTTGCGTTATATGTTTTATGTATTCAAAGTTTATAAACTGCTGGCAAAACTATTTAGATAATTAATTTATTATAATTTTATTAGTTTTTTATATTAAAATTGATTATAATATTATTAATATTTTATTTAATTGTAACTATTATTAAAATACTATTTCATTCAAGTTTTTATTATTAAAATATTAAAATATTATTTTATTATTAGTTATTATTATTATTATTTGAATTGTATAATATATCTATTTTAGATTTAAATAGAAATTTGTTTAAATATTTAAAAAAATTTAATTGTATTGAATTTGTATAAAAAAATAAAATAAATTTTTATAAAATGTCATATTTTTAAGTAAACTAAATAAACAAAAGATTCATTTGAATAATTTATTTTTATTATTTATGTAAATCAATTAGTCTATATATAATATGTATTATGTAATATATTACATTCAAAAAATAAAATTTAATTAAAATTTCATAAAATTAATAAAAAATATAATAAAAATCATATTTATAATAGATTTTTAGTTATTATTCATTGAATCATATACACTAAATTTCTTTGATAATAATACAAACAATGTATGACTAAAAATAAATATAATTATAAATTACTAATAAAAAATAATTTGTTTTTTTTTAATTTTAATAATACAAAAATAGACTATTAGTGAAAATAACCGCAAAAATAATCTGTTTATGTATTATTGTTTAGTGAAAAATAAATGATATTTCTAAAAATATGTTTTTTAAATCTTGAAATTTATTAAAATTAAATGAAAGTAATTTATCTAATAATTAAATAAGAAGTCATTAAAATTATAAAACATTATATATATAAAAGAATATATTAAATAATAATTACTGGAAATAAATTGACGGATCTTTTAGATAGTTATCAAGAATTTGTGGAAATTTTTCTAAACTATTACCGGGAGGTAGTCGTTTATCATTATCATCATTCAGAAACAATGGTATACCACTCCACACCCAAACCAATGGTATGCCCGACAGTTCAACTGATGGGAGACAGAAAAAGTGATCAATTAGTATGACATCGGGTTTGACATCACTGATCACTGTTTCCATATCCTTATCCAACTTCTTATACAACTGGACTCTATCTAATTGTGCTTTACTGCGATGTTTTAACATTTCTAACGGTATCTGATCCGTAAGCATACCCATCTCAAGCATTTTTTTAGCAAAATATTCTACTGGATCCACATCTTTATCATCCTCCGGGATGAGCACCTCCTCGAAACCATACGCTTCCAGTTTGCCTTTCAATTGTTCACTGATGGCAAATACTACCCGATAGTTACCGCTAGTGTCCAGTAGTCGCTGTCCGACTGCTACGCAAGCGTTGGCGTGACCGACGCCGACGATTAGCGAAACTAATACCGTTTTTTGTTTAGTCATTTTTTAAAAAAAAAATGGTATAAATTAAATAATTAAATTAATACTTATTAAAAAAAATTATCACTGTTTTATAATAATATTTTAATAAACTAATAATAAAAATTTCTTTTTATAAATAAAATTAATAAAAATACGTGTACTAATAATATATTGATAAAGTATAATGTAATTATAAATTAGCAAATAAAATTTCGGAGAGTATGAAAAAATTAAATTTTATCACAAAAAAACGCTTTATATATAACGCTAAATTTGTATGACATTACAGTTTATTATAATTAATTATTTAATAAATTAAATATTAAAATCATTTGTTTTCTTAAGATTTGAATTAAAAATATTTT